TGTTTAACTATTTTACCTAATCCAGTGTGTTTAAGTTGAAGTGTCCGGGCAACTCTATTTAAGATAATAAACTGGCATATTATTCTCATAGAGGAACAATGGACTTAATATATTTGTACTGTCCAGGAGAGAGATGGGCAGTACAGGACATACATTTCTGGGGTAAGATCTGGGACTGGTGGTAAATTGGGGTCACCCTGCTATATAACCAAGGCTGGTGACAGTCCCGGTGTAACTGGCAGGCTACAGTTACATGCAGACACTCAGGGTATGGCTTATGTGCTGGAAGGCTGGTTATGAGCAGTCCAGGAGCAAGCTCCTTCGGCAAAGCATTGTAAGGTAGCCAGGGTTGCAGGGCAGGGGTGACACAGCCCCCCACTAGTTTCGGTTGTGCCCTGGTATGTCACACCTAGTCATTACTGGTTGGACTATATCTTGCATATGTCACTTCAAAAGACAGGCCCTGAGGAGGAATTTGGCTTGTTATGACTCCTCTAAACACAGTGTAGTTAAACCTCCTTGAAAACTCAGACATAAAATATGTTTGTAGAAAACTGGTTGCAATTAAGCAAACTTATAATTATTGTCGTTTGTCCTTCCATGGGGACATCTGACTTATTTTGCCAACTGAAAAAGAATTCTCATCAGATATAAATATATTTCAGTACTACAATCTTAGCTCATACCCCACAGTAAGTACTACCTCTTTCATCAGTAACCTAAAAACAATCCCTGCATTTATTTGTATTGATAAGAAGAGTTGGCCTCACTTTAAGATGCTGAGTACACACAACTCCCATCAATGTAACAGAGGGGAGGGATAGTTCAGTGGTTTAAGCATTGGCCTGCTAAACCCAGGGTTGTGAGTTCAATCCTTGAGGTGGACCATTTAGGGATCTGGGGCAAAATCAGTACTTGGTCTGTGAAGGCAGGGGGCTGGACTTGATGACCTTTGTCCCTTCCAGTTCTATGAGAGAAGATATCTATTTTAATTTTAAAATCAGGCCTACTATGTTGATGGGTTTTTTTTGAGAGCAGTGTGATATTTACAAGAAGATTGACTTTAACTATTAAGTTCTATAGGTGCTCGGCTTTTGTTTAAGGACATGCAATTGTCATTTAGCAATGTAAAATAAGATGCAGGATGGTCCAGTGGTTATGGTACTAGCCTAGATCTTGGGAGACCCAGGTTGAATCCCCTATTACATCACAGACTTCCTGTGTGACTTTGGGCAAGTCACTTAGCCTCTCTGCACCTCAGCTCCCCATCTGTTAAAAATGGAGATAAATAGGACTTCCCTACCTCACAGAAGTGTTGAGAGGATAAGTACACACAGATTGTCAGAGGCTCAGCTACTACGGTGATGGGGATCAGATTAATATCTTGGATGGATGTTTCACTTTGAGCTGATGCTACCTTTAGCATGCCCTTCTCTGGTGTTGTTTCCCTTAGCATTCCTGTAGCAGCACACCCTTCCCTGGTGCTGCCTCTCCTTCTATGTACTGTCTTAAAAGAGATTTTTATAAGTTCCAGACTCCTCTCACTGACAGCATACTTTCCTAAAGCTCCCCTCTTCCCTTTATCATTGGGTGATGCCACGGCGTAGTTCTAATCCTGATTTAGATGAATACTTTCTATATCTATTTCTATATCTTGCTTCCTTGTATATTCAGCCCCTGAAAGACCTTGAGTTTTTCCTTGTGACAGTTTACTTTGTCACAACCAGCATTAATCTTTTGTATATATTCTATCACCAGTCCCCAAAGCAATCTAGACCACCTTGGTAAATGACCTTTTCAACATACTAGATCACCAAATGTAACAAGGTGTGGAATAAAAAACGTTAACAATATAGTAGAACTGAAGCATGTTTTGTATTTGTATAAGTGCAATAATTATCTTTTTTTCTTAAAAATAATATGATGAAATGTTGCTCTACTCAGCGGATTTATCATGAATTGTTTGTAAACAAGTCACTTCATTTCCATGATTTTGACAAGTCTAGAGTGCTTATTTATGTTTCCAGATTTGGGGAATGTACGAGACATAGAGGACATTCCACTATGAAAATGTTATGCTGAAACCCCAGAATTTAAAAAACTAATATTCTAGCATATTAGCATAAAGCTACAATAAAGGATACATAAATGTTAGAGAATTATGTTGCATCGTGGCACCCTTCTGCCTCTCGATATTAGACTAATATTAAACCGCAAAGCCAATGTCTATAATGCACAAGCACTTCTTTACCATATTAGAGCAAACAGAAAATGAGATGGAATATCCCCACTAAGTGGTTTAAAACCACTTCTGACAGCTTTTAAATAATGCAGTACATGAAAGATGGGGACTTTATTTATTTATTTTATTTTTGCTCATAATGCAGGCCTCTTGCGAAGACTGAACCATCCTTTCGGAATTACAAAAATGGGACTTAAGAATAAGAGTCAAAAAAGAGTCAGTAGCAAACCACTGTAAAAACAAAATGATAGTTCTATGTAAACAAAAACAAAATCTTACAACAGAAGACAATCCCAATTTCCAATCCAGTCTTAGATTTATCCAACAAGGAACAGCAGAAGCAAAAAACCCAAATACCTGTCAAAGCAGCTGTTTTAAAAAGGTGATTCAACTTACTGTTTTGAATAAACAGTATTTGCAGAAACATCAAACTAAGTGTATTTTGCATAAATACAAGAGAAAAAACACAGTTTAATCTGTATAGATTAACAGAAACCAGTTTGGTATCCTATAGAACAAAACACGCAATTTAATGTGTGTCTGTTTTCTAAATCATTCATTTGAAACTGCATCTCTAGTTGTGTAGTCAAGAAATTGAGTATATTGTTACTGAACATCCAGCATGTACAATTATGAAAGCTATTTATATGATGAAGTAGTAAAGCTGCTTTTACTAGATTTATTCATAATGTGATTTCAAGGTTACTTCTATCTCCCATGTATTCAACAGAAAATACAATACAGCTACATGAGTATTACCTTGGGCTGTGATCCTGTCAAACCCACAAGTTTAGCAAGATCAGGCCTACTCAGCATTTGTACAGACTACCACCCAGGACATCTACATGATGCAGTGGCTCAAAATTATAGCATTCAGATTTTCTGTCTCCCACCTTAAAACTAAAGAAAATGTTTCTTGTGGGATGAACCATAGTTTTTAATTTACCATAGTATTAAAGGAAGCTAACATGAAAGTGCAAAAGGAAACCTCAAAATTCCCTGTCACAGATCCACAGAAAATATATGGAGAGAAATTAACTTTTTTCAGGCAATGGATTGCAAAACAATTTCTGATGTGCATTAACAAAGTGCCTGCAGCTAAATATAATTTGTATTATGCTACCTCAGGAAATCAAGGTTACATCACTTAACATTATTTGGTGCCTAGGAGAAAGTATTTTCACTCATTCTTATTAGTTACCTTTAGTTAAGTCAAACCAAAAAAGCTGTCCACTCTGGCACTTTTCACACCCCTGACCGACAAAAGTTTTACCGACAAAAGTGCCAGTGTAGATATAGCGTGAGGCTCTACAGTAGGGGTCTCAAACTCCCGGCCCGCGAGCCACTCCAATGCAGCCCGTGGGGCTCCATCAGTTTTGGGGTCTCTCCCTTGGCCCCACCTGCTCCCCCAGGCGCTCCCCCCTCGGGGGCCCCAGCAGCGCAGTGGAGCTGAGCGGCAGCTGCCTACTCACTCCACTGGCTGCTGGCCCCTCCCTGAGGCCCAGGGGCGGGGCTGTGCCTCCGCGCGGCTGCCCCCGCCCCAAGTGTCCCTGCGGCCAATGGGACTCTGCGCACGGAGGCCCCCCGGCCTGCCCTGCCTTGGAGCCCAAGGTAAGCGCCGCACCCCTCCCACCCCCAAACTCCCTCCCAGAGCCTGCACCCCCCACCCCTCCCCACATACCTCCTCCCGCCCCCAAACTCCCTCCCAGAGCCTGCACCCGGTCCCCACACACCCCTTCCGCCCCCAAACTCCCTCCCAGAGTCTGCACCCGGTCCCCACATCCCCCTCCCGCCCCCAAACTCCCTCTCAGAGCCTGCACCCAGTCCCCACACACCCCAGCCCCCAAACTCCCCCCCAGACCCTGCACCACATCCCCACACCCCCTAGCCCTCAAACTCCCTCCCAGAGCCCAACCCCCCCCCCCTTCTGCACCCAAACTCCCTCCCAGAGCCTGAACCCCAATCCCCTACCCCAGACTGCCTCCCCCCACCCAAACTCCGTCCAATAGCCTTAGGCAGGTGGGGCGGGGCGGAGTTTTTTGGGGGATGGAGTTTTTGGGGGGCGGGGTCTGGGTGGCATGAGTGACACTGGCCCTCTGGGAGGATTTGAGGACTAGCACTGGCCCTGAGGTAAATTGAGTTTGAGACCCCTGCTCTACAGCTTTAACACTTGGTGGGTCTCAATGTGCAATCCCCACCTTCCTGCAACACCATGCTGCTCCAGGGCCCTAGATACCCTTTTTCTGTACCTCACTCCTCCGAACTACCACAGAATCTTCCCATTGGCGCCCCATCACTCGTATGAGTAAGAGGTAAAGAGCAGCAACAAAATCACCTGTAGCAAATTCAGCACACTGTCCTCCGTTGAGCATCACTGTTCATCACAATGTAACAACGTTATTTTATTAAGTACTCTTTTCGAGATCAGGATGAGACCTACATGAGGGGCACATGATCCCAAATCTGCAAACTGTGGGATTCTTACACCTTCCCCTGGCGCATATGTGCCGCACTAGTATAAGATGGGGCTTGCATACCTACATCAGATATGTTTAAGTATACAGCTAGACAAACCTTTTACTAGAATGAATTAAGTATTAACTATGTTCAAAGTAAAATACAACTGGCACACTATACAATTTCATGCTGTATCAACTGCATAATTATTGCTTCTCAATTCAATGAAAATGTATTCTTTAAGTCATGCTATCATATTATACAAATGCAAAGCCAAGACATTTTTCTTTGAAACACCTACCTTCACCATCACAGTTTGATCAGAGACCCCACTCATCATCTCATTGATAGACTTAAATAGCTGAAGCAAGGATTCCATGAAGTCTGCTTCTCCTTTGTTTTCATAAAGTCTGAGAAACAAATAATTGCTTGTGTAATATAAGCATAAACCACAAGGGAAAAAAAACCCGGAAATATTGTATAAAGCAATGGAAATTGTTCCCAAAGCAGTCATTTTTTGTTCAAATGACAACTGACAATGCCATGTATTACTCACGACATTTAAAATAAAAGGGGTTCTTAAATTCCACAACTTTTATCAATCAAGCTGGAGTGTTTTTCCACAGAATGGTTAACCAAAAGGAAATTCATTGAAGTCACAGACCTAAAATGGATTATTACTAATTTAAAGCTTCCCCTGGTAAAACATCAAATAGGTGGAGATTTAACACTAAAACCTAAGTCCCTGAGATACTATCAATCCATCTCATTATCACCGACCTCCACATAGCTGCAAAATAATGCGCTAGATTCACTCCTTCACTCAGCACAGGAGTAAGTAAGGAGGTGGGAAGAGCATGCCAGGAAGCCAGTTCCAGCTCCCTGATTCTCAGGACCACACCCAACCTAATTTACAAGTGGTGCTAGTCATCTTTAAATTCTGCTGCTGTCGTAAGGTTCTTCATAGACGCTATGTAAGGAGAATTACTGTGGCAACCCCCTTTCCACCACCAGCAAACCTGCTGCGTGAGAAGAGGGGAGTTTGTATTAATTGACATGGAATATATAGGCTAAGGGTGTTAACATAACTCAGTTACTGTCTAAAACTCAACAGTGTTAAACAAGATTTGCTGTACACACAATTTAGCCTTCTTAGTATTATGGCAAACACACCATGAAACAGCCTTTTTATTGAAGATAAAGAAAAACAGTTACAATATTTGACACGTAAAGTATTAAATAAGGCATTTATTTTAACAACATTCCTGGTTCCTTTTCTTTTTAACTGGAGAGTTTTTAGAACTCTTTTTAGAACTCATTGTCAACAGTCTTTTAGATGGTATTAAAGATGGTAGTAATTGTTTTTTGGAGGAAAAAAGAAGCTAGTTGAGATGGGCTGAAGCTGTTGTGCTGCTGATAAAGTTTGATTTCATTTTATTTTAGGTGGTGTTTGGGATTCAGCAGGAGTTGACATATGTTATTTGGGTCTCTTTTTTTTTTTGGCCCAGTTTGGTCAGGACATTTTTCAGGATTAGGAAAAAGAAGGTCTGGAGTCTTAGGAGATGGTGGGAGCGGTAACCATGATGATGAGGCTTGCTCCGATAGCCCCCCATCGTTTTTTATAAAAGGTGGGGGTTTTTTTAAGGACTTAAAAAGGAAGTGATGCGGGAATAGTCCATCCCCTTATTATTTTGTCTATTAATTAGGTTTAATATCTGACACACTAAATTTTGGTTTATTAATTTTTGGACTTGCTTTTTATTTATTCAGCATGACTTTAATCGAGTTTTTGAGTTATATTAGTAGACTTTTTGGTTTGGACTAATTCAGGATTTTTTGTTTTAATTTTTTGGTATTTATTAACATTTGTTATTATAGATTTTTGTGATGGTTTATGAACTTCCATGTACTGTTTATATATGAGTATATAACTAGGGTAAATTTGTAGGCTTAACAGAACTAACTCACAGGAGCCACGCTGCAGAGCAGATACATCAGCAGAGCGTTCCTCCAATGCCAGAGGATCTCTGTTGGTGCTTGAGGCCAGATCACAACTCCTTTGTGCCACCTCAGTGGTGTAAAAAGGATGTAACCCAGCTAGAGAATTTGGTCCAATCTCTATATATGGCAAAAAAGTGACTCAATTCCAGAATCTCCTTTCTATTTTAAATCAACATGGACTTTGCCTAGACTGTAGGGGGAAGAGTGAGATGAGGAATGCTTCTATCTACGTCTAACAAAAGGACAGCACCATTACCGTGAACAAATTTCCTGTAGAAACTTAAAACATATGGTTTGTACTGTGAGAATATCCATATCTCACATTTAGCAGGGATGCAGTCAATAGACTTCTGAGAGCTCTTCCCATTTAACGAGCTTCAATTAAAGAAAGTATGACTAGACAGGTTTAATATATGCCAGAGAGGGAAACGATAGTTAAGAGTGCATGGTATATAGAAGACAGAAGGCCACAGAACCATGACATCCTTGTCAAGTCTAAATTGTGGTATTTATAAAAATGGGTGTGGGAAGCACCAGAAATGTTTCCCATGCACTATATATTCAGTTTTTGATTGGCTATGAGCCTATTTGAGACATTTAGTCTCTGACCTCTTTCTCCATCTCGCTACATTCTATTTACACCAAGTGCTGACGTGCCCCTTTGTTGTATGTTATCACGACCTGTCACAGTTGCTATCATAAGAACGGTCATACTGGTTCAGATCAAAGGTCCATCTAGCCCAGTATCCTGTCTTCCAACAGTGGACAATGCCAGGTGCTCCAGAGGGAATGAACAGAACATGTAATCATCAAGTGACCCATCCCCTGTCGCCCATTCCCAGCTTCTGGCAAACAGAGGCTAGGGACACCATCCCTGCCCATCCTGGTTAATAGCCATTGATGGACCTATCCTCTATGAACTTATCTAGGTTTTTTTTTTTTAACCCTGTTATAGTCTTGGCCTTAACAACATTCTCTGGCAAAGAGTTCCACAGGTTGACTGTGCGTTGTGTGAAGAAATACTTCCTTTTGTTTGTTTTAAACCTGTTGCCTATCAATATTTGTGCACTTCCCTTTTATTATCCTCTTACTTTACCCGTTGATTAAACTGAGTCAGAAGAGAGACTTCTAACTTCAGCATACGGTTCTGCTTTTCTAGGGCAATGGGAGCATTATAGGTTAGGCATTTTACACATTTAAACCTTAGTCTGATTTCTTCAAACTTGAAAACATCACATAAGATTTATTTAAAACTCACTATGGAGAATCTATATTACAAATTCCAAATGAGGAACAGGGATTTATTTTTTTAAAAGTGGTGCATGAAAAAGAATAGGATGTTCTTGCTACTTTACACTAAAAATTAATGTCTATTATTTCTAGCACAAAATGCATATTCCTTGGGAGCCATAAATACAAAAAAAAAAAGCTATTAAAGTAGTACACTAGGGTAAATGAAAAAAAAAAAAGGAATTAAACTGCACTGTTTTGCTATGAGAATTTTGCTTCCTAACTAGAATTGCAGGCCATGCAGAACAGAATATTAAAATTATATTTTAGGAATAAACTAAGACATTGCAATGTTCCCCCAATAAAAGGAACTGTAAAGCTTGACAGTCAGTATCCATCAAGACATTTTATAGATACATGAAGCTAGTTAAGACAAGAAAAAAAAAATCATTGTGCTTTAGTAAGTCCTGAGCACCTGCAACTCCCAATGACTTCAGCTGAATCAGGGTTTATATAAGATTATAGCAAGCTTGGCATACGGACGGCATGTGTGCGTGTTTGTTATGCAGTACCAAACAGTCAGCATGTTCAATAATAAATTATTTATTTAAAAAGTTATTTGTAATAACAACGCCTTTTTAAAAAGCTTTTTCTTTAGAACAGAGACTACTTGCTTGTTAAGTGTTTCACACTAAAACACTAGCACTGAGACCATTTCTTTTAAGGACAGCCCCTTATGCCATAGTTTTAATAGTTCTAAATAATCACCACATATTAGCCAGGGTTTCAGTTTTACAACAGAGAACTAATTGTTGTATCATTCCAATTTAGTAGCTTCTCTGATTAAACCCTTATCATTCAGACTTGTGATTTCCCAGTGCTAATGCTTTTTGAATTAGTGCTTAGCACCAGGAAATCCAACGGCAAACACCAAGGGATCATTTTTTTCTGTAAATCTCATCTGCAGTGAGAGATAATTATTTTTTTTCTTGTAAAATGATTTGTAAGACCAGAAACAGAATAAGTGACAGTCAGTACCTTATAAATCTCACAGCAAGAATATTATCGAAAGAAATTACATTGCCTAATTTATAAAAAAAACTTGGTGACATTGTTAACTTCAGAACTCTACATAAATCCCTTGTAATAACCTTTTTACATCCTATAAGAAATATCAAAAGGGTTACATTAAAGGTTAAGACAAACACATAATAAACTTGCTTATTTTATAGGTTTGTATATTTGGTGTATGCAATTCCATGATAACTTTTAATTTGCTGGAAAATGACTGTACTTAGCTTTATTGGTGAATATTGACTTCAGGCATGGCAACAAAGTTACCTATTCAAGTCACAGAAAATTAAACAAACTGGAAAACAGCCTGCTAGAAAGGCTGAAATTCTCCCCTCCCATATTAAAGTCACAGGAGTTTTTGCAAAGAAATCTCCTCAAGGATTTTCTCATGAAGAAGCTCCACATTATTCCGCTGGAGGAAGAGAGGGAGAAGGGTTTGCTACCCTCTGCAGAAAAACCCAGTCCCAAACCTCACAGATACCCTCAGTATCTGCAGGAGGCCATGGTCATCCACAGTGGCTCCCTCCTTTATGCTCATTCCAAGTCCTGCATGGAGGGAGGGAAGAGATGATGCAAAATGTCCCCCTTTTTAAATTTGTTTTTGATTAGTTAAATAAAACTACCTTAAATGTGCTAGATGCACAAGAAGAAAAGTTTATCAAAGTTAGTTTTTAATACAAAACAAGTTAACACTTTAAACAAATTGAATATTAATTGCTAGGGAATTGACTTGATTGCTTCTGGTCACCATCTCCTTCAAGATTTTAGAAAAAGTAGATCTCATCTCCTTACATCTCATTTTTATTCATAGATTGAAAGAGGAAATCAAGCTTTTCTGCTTTTTCCAACTCCCAATCAATCAATCAATCAATTTCTCAACTTTGAATGAACTAGTCATTGAACTGAAATGAAAAAAATTCTCTCTGCATCTGGAGAAAAAAACAGTGCTATCAGAGTGGCATGTCAACAAACTCTGGTTCCAGGTGCTTAGCCGGTGACTTCCCCCAGTTCATTGGTTTGACTTTCTTTAAAACTTCAGCAGTAAACATACTACTTGAATATTATTGTTTTTTATTTTATTTAAATGATTTTAAAAGATTATAGTAAGTTGAGGCCTTAACAAAGGTTACCATAATTTCAAATAGGTTTTTTTAAAAGACAATGTATTTATTTTAATTTTTTTTTTTATAATTTTTTATAAATTCATTGATTTTAATCAACCCTCAATGATGTGGCCCAGAGAAAAAAGTTTCCTTCTGCCTCCCTGCAAAAGGTTGAATATCTTCCAACCAGGTGAAAAAGTTACAGTAATCTGAGGTGAGGAACTAGCAAAAGTCAGTCCCGGACCAGTGATGGTTATTGAGCTGCATCCCATTAGTAGCATTAATATTTGGATAATTATTATCTTGATGCTATTGCCAATAAGAGTTTCACAGATTTCCAATGGCATACACAGTATTCGTTTCGAGCTATTGGATCACAAAACCATGCCACTATTATATATCACTGTGCTACCTGGGGTGATTGTTAGTTTTCACTTTTCTCTACCCTCTGTTTGTACAGATTGATTAAAAACTGAAGAATCCTACCCATGAGAATGAAAGAATTTACATATGAATACATTTAAGACACTCAAAAGATTTCTAAAATAGTGTTCCTGGTAACACGTGCAGAATTCATACTAATATAGTATGGTTTAAAAGGTCGACTGGAATTGTTTGGGATGACCAGCATAACTCATTAGTTTGCCACTTGTAAGTAACACAGCCGTTCTAAACCCATGCTAATAAAGTTGTTACACCTCACTACAACATCAAATACTCTAATTACAGCAAAAGTAACTGCCACAGTTAAGGCTGCCTTCCCAAGCTAACCTTCTGTTTTCAGACCCTTACAACATTCAGAAAGCTATGAGCAACAATGGAAGCGCTTATGTGCCCTTTCTAAACTGAGGTATCACTCCCACTGTGAGGTCCATGCTTAAATATACCCACATATAGTCACTGTTTACGTTTGCAAGGCAGCTGAGAGAAGGATGCTGAACTAATCACAGGTGTAGTTAGGGTTTGGTAGCTGGGAAGGGATTAAGGGGACAAGGGACAAGCTATAAAACCAGTAGCAGTGTGGCCATAAAATAAACGGTAACAATGTGTCCATAAAACCATAAAACCTCACAAGGTCTTAGCACCCTCAATCTTATTCCTTCTGTCTAATGCCTAAGTTACATTTTCTTATACTTTGGGGATAAGCCAAATTTGTGCAAAGTAAACAAGTGCTTTATGAAGAAATAAATAATATTCTATTTACTGCATAGTACTTCTTACGTTTAAACAGCCAGTGCCCTTATGAAAAATGATTTGCTTCATACCAGTCTACTAGTAGGCACAACATTTACAGTAAATACAAAAAAAGCCAGAACTCATCACAAACTTCTCTAATGTCAATTGTAATTTTTAAATAAAAAAGAGAAAAATCAGATTTAAGAAAGGAAAAAAATATGAAGCCCAAGGCTGTTTTTTTTTTAATTGTTAATACTTACTGATTGAACAATATTCTGGACCGTACTATAAATTTGAAGATGTATTCCAGAGCTTTCATGGCTTTAAAAAGTTGATCAGTTACGCCAGGTTTCTCAGCATTATCCACGTAATTTCTTAAAACTTTAGTCAGCTTTCTATTAAAAAATAATACAGGTTACTTGTACTTTTTCCAATTAAGAATTTTGCTTCCTGAAGAATTTAACAATATTAGCCACAGCTAGTGCAGATAACATGAAAGCATTTTATTATGTGAGAGTAAGGACTCTTCATTCAATTCTTGTCCTTACCAGTGACTAGCAGTGACTCTGGGGAATTCCCTTAACCTCTCTGTTGCACACTTTACCTACCGACAAAATGAGCACAGCATCATGTATTTCATAGGAGAATTAGCCGGCTTAATATTTACAAAGTCCTTTGAATCTTGAGATGTTCAGGTGAAAGGCGCTATGCAAGTGCAAAGAATTATCATAAATATTTGTGAGTAGATTTCTAAATTTAATTATACTATCTAAATCAATAGCCCCTGCAGGGCTGTATCTAGTATCCTTGCATATGGCTTTACTTTGGAGCAGTGACAAAATAGATCCTGTAAAACTTGCTTTTTCAAAATTATAGACAGTAACAGTTGACATTAAAAAATGACTTCGTCTCCAACTTTGGGATTTTTAAAATTTTGTTTCTACGGACTAACAAAATTACCACTTCTATAGCCTCGCTTTTCCTGACTGGAAATCACTTTTTAAACTGGAATATAGACAACGCCCAGTTTTAAAATTACCATCTTCAGATTTATTTTAAACATACAATAAGTGATATTTTTAAAACACATATAACCTACTGAAGCTAATGAAGACCTAATTTTGTCTTATTATCACTTAAGTGAACACACTTCACGCATTTTCTTCCCACATAGATCAAACTCCATTCTGAGGAAGAGAAAGTTGCCAAGCAAAACTATCGATTACTGTTTTTGTATCCAACAAGAACAGTCTGAAGTAGCAAATAGCAAAAGAAAGTTGAGAGGTTTTGTTTTTGCTTAAAGATGACAATGGTGTACACATAATAGAAGATAAGCAGAACACCAATTTTACACTGTAAGCAAGATGGATTTTAAATTTTTTAATATTTATTATTACTTGCACAAGTAGAATTGGCAGTTGTCATGTTTTATTTATGATACCTTTCTCCATAAACATGTCTGAAATAGTTCAAATCATCATCTCATTAAAAGGAGGAACTCTGGGCTTCATGCCTCAGGATTGACAGTACTGTTACTATTAATTCAGATTTGAAAAAGGAAAGGAGGAATATCTCCTACTCAAAAACAACAAAAACCCCATGTTTCTTCGTGTTTATAGGCAAACACCTATTTAAATTATGCAAAAGAAAATGTGAATACCATCTGGAGATATACTGTACAACAATTTTTTCATTAGAAAAATATTTTTAAAAACTTACGTGTAGGCTAAAGTAGCACTGAAATGTTTCTTAATGTAGGTTTCCAAGACAGGATTAAAATGCTGAAATTTTCTGTCAGCAATCAGTCCAATGATAAATACCTGTTAAATTAGTATAATTATTCCATTATACACAAAATCTTTGAATTTCTATATTCTCAGGACCTAACCAGTTGAATCATTTCAAACGAGCCACACTAGTAACATACAGGACACCGTCACAGACTGACCTTAGTTAAAAACAACAATCCTACTACAGTAACTCCTCGCTTAACGTTGTAGTTATGTTCCTGAAAAATGCGACTTCAAGCGAAACGATGTTAAGCGAATCCAATTTCCCCATAAGAATTAATGTTAATTGGGGGGGGAGGGAGAGTTAGGTTCGAGGGAAATTTTTTTCACCAGAAAAAAAGACTATATTATATATATGTATACACAGTATAAGTTTTAAACAAACAATTTAATACTGTACACAGCAATGAGGTTCTGAAGCTTGGTTGAGGTGGTGGAGTCAGAGGCTGGGATATTTCCCAGGGAATGCTTTACTGCTAAATGATGAACTAGTATTCGGCTGAGCCCTCAAGGGTTAACACATTGTTGTTAATGTAGTCTCGCACTCTACAAGGCAGCACGAATGGAGGGAGGGGAGACAGCATGGCAGACAAAGACAGAGACACACACCCAGTGTGTGTGTGTGTGTGTGTGTGTGTGAGAGAGAGAGAGAGAGAGATGCACAAGTTTTTTTGTTGGAGAATTGCGACTTTTAGGTCTGTAATTGAGTGACCAAGGAGGTTGAGGTGTTCTCCGATTGGTTTTTGAATGTTATAATTCTTGACGTCTGATTTGTGTTCATTTATTCTTTTGCGTAGAGACTGTCTAGTTTGGCCAATGTACATGGCAGAGGGGCATTGCTGCCACATGATGGCATATATCACATTGGTAGATGTGCAGGTGAACGAGCCTCTGATGGTGTGGCTGATGTGATTAGGTCCTAATACTCCAACAAAAAAAATTCAAAAACAGACTCCAACGAGAAACTGCAGAATTGGAATTAATCTGCAAACTGGATACCATTAAATTAGGCTTGAAAAAAGAGTGGGAATGGATGGGTCATTACACAAAGTAAAACTATTTCCCCATGTTATTTTTCCCCTACTGTTACTCACACCTTCTTGTCAACTGCTGGAAATGGGCCATCCTGATTATCACTACAAAAGTTTTATTTCTCCTGCTGATAACAGCCCACCTTAATTGATTAGTCTCATTATAGTTGGTATGGCAATACCCATTTTTTCATGTTCTCTGTGCATATATATCTTCCTACTGTATTTTCCACTGCATGCATCCCATGAACTGGGTTTTAGCCCACGAAAGCTTATGCCCAAATAAATTTGTTAGTCTCTAAGGTGCCACAAGTATTCCTCGTTCCTTTAAGTATGCTGCCCCACTCTAAGAACATTGCCTTTTTAGATCAGCAAGTTGAGACAGCAGCTGCTGCCTGCAAGCTCCCTCCGTCCTGAACCCTGTCATGTCTCCCCCCTGCTCTATGGAAATAGGGTAAGCGGGTGGCCGGAGCAGTGGGCACCCTGATATTAGCCCCCCTCCTTCTGTCCTCTCCCCCCGCACAGCAAGCAGGAGACTCATGGGAGCAGCTCCAAGGCAGAGGGCAGGAGCAGCACATGGCAGTGGGGGGAGGGACAGCTGAACTGCCAGCAATTGATAGCCTGCTGGGTGGCTGCCACACAGGGAACTTAGGGAAACGGGGAGCTGATAGGGGGGCTGCAGGTCCACACAGGTTCCAAGCCCCCACCAGCTAGCTGCAAAGGGCTGCTCTTTCTGCAAGCAATGGACAAAGCAGGGGGCTGCCAAACGATGTTATAAGGGAGCATTGCGCAACTTTAAATGAGCATGTTCCCTAATTGATCAGCAACGTAACAACAAAACAATGTTAACCAGGATGACTTTCAGTGAGGAGTTACTGTATTCTATTTACTTTACCAACTTTCTGTTCCTAACACAGGAATGGTTCTCTCTCTGCCCCACCACCACTCTTATACTTTTACCAGTGTCCCAGCACAGCAGCTGGTCCACTATATGCTCCGCCATTTCTTCTGGCCCTGACACTGTCAGCAGAGCACCCCCCTTACACTTGTCTTCAATCACTATGACGCAGTGTGTCAGAACCCTCAATCACTATGATGCAGTGTGTCAGAAACCTCCATCCCCTTTGAATTAAAGCCCTATTGGGAGTTTAAAAAAAACACTTCAAATAAAACAAATTTCAAAAGGTGTGATTTGCAGGTGATCGGATGAATATTATTTATGAAAAATACCATAATTAAGTCTATAAATCAATAAAATTTACATTTTAGCCAAACACCTATGCACAAACAAGTCAACTTACCAAAGCATCAAACACTAGGGTGTCAAACGTCTCACTCTCTGAATTCTCCATCATGATGTTAAAAAGTGCATCCAGTGTATCTTGTAGGAACTGCAGATAAATATTCAGTCACTATATTTTACAGGAAATTTGAGATTAAATTTCCCAAATTGATATTTTACATGGATCTACACACTAATTTTTATTTTTACATTATAAAGAATATAAAAATAAAAGAGTTAGTTGGAAAATAGAAGAATTTTTTTCCACATTTTGTTTTTCAGTGAATGTTTACAAAATTTAGTATTTATATATCAGAGTTGGCCAGAAAATGCATTACTACCCCCCACCCCACCCTCACCCCACTCCCCCCTCCACACCCCTACACACACACACACACAAACACACACACACACACACACACACAGAGTACTTGAACAGAAACCTTTACTTTTTATAGTGAATATACCAATAAAGTGTTTCAGGATTCAATCTTAACATACTGTTAAAAAAATCATGCAATTTTTGAGACACGATCATGTATCACAGTACAAAACACAAACAAGCAAGTCAGACTCATGCTAAATAAATCAAGTAGTACTCAGATGCTTTGAAATTATCTTGACATTAACAGAAAATACAACATAGCTATTTATGGCTCCATGAACTCACAGGCCCACAGCAGTCAACTAATAGCATACATGCAGGCATGGGAAATACCACACACAACCTTCTTCTCCCCCCCACCCCCCACCCCACCCTCCCCAATAAAACCTACAGGCCTCTATCACTGTAACTGAGGAAGAATCTTCACTAGACAGTTGGCAGGACACCCTGATCTGCACAACATGAAAGTAAAAGCAGATTAGCAAAGGGGACTTGATTTAAGCACAATGGGAAAAAGTGCTCTATAACCATATAATTTAATATTCCTTCCTACCATAGGCTAATAACACATAGGGTTGGAGTTCTTCAGGTTGCACGATGCATTTAGTTTTACCAACCAATAAGTCTGTGTCTGGGCAATTTGTGTTACTAGATGGACAGAAAACAACTCCTCCTCCCAGGCAGATTAACATGTGAATGGATCACCACTCAGATTCAGATTTTGGGGGAAAATGTAGCTTTATGCAGCAAATGCCTTTTGTCTCCGTTGAAACAGGTAGGCAATCTTCTCCTGTAGCCAGACTCCAGTTTAGGGGTGGAGTAAGCTATTTGTTTTGTCAAGAGATTTTATCGGGGAGGGGAGGGGGGAATCTTCCATCAACCAGAGGGGTAGAGTAGACTCTTTTGGGATTGGATCTGCCACAACAATGAAGATATGTAAGAGCTTATGAGATCACACTCAGGCAGCTTCTTGTGCAGTTCAGCAGACTAAACAATGCTCAACAAGAGACTCATTGTTAATGATCAAAAGCTAACTTTTATTTTGTATCCACTGTAATCCTCTGTTGGCCACCAATTTCCATCCCCAGGAATCTGTAACCACAATATGATGCTACTAAAATTTGGAGGTAAACAGCATAGAAGAGGAAGAGCTTGCAACATCATTTTCATATGGGCCCGCAGCTTGGGACAGAAATCAGCTTTTGACTTCATGTTTTAATTTTTAGTAGAACAATGGCTGTCTTGCAGTCATATTCATTTAATTAGGGGAAACAACATGGCAGTTCACACTGGTATGTATTTAAACATTCACTTTTCACTGGGAGTGATAGTTTTCCCGAGCATATGATGGTTTGATAGCATGGCTAAACTCCATTAAAAAGAAAACAGAGATGAAAAGGTGCCATGACTGGATGTTTTTTGCACATGTGGGCATCACACACATTTGCTTTCATTTGTAGAACTCATGTTGTATGAGCAGTTTTGAACACATGCAATGAGGACTTCCAGTGATGGCTAGAAAGATTCCAGGCTGTCCAGGCCATAGAGGGTAGGCGTACCCCAAGCAAATTATTAATAGCATCTTGCTGCAGATTGTGGCAGTGCTTTGGAGACTATCAGGAGGACACTTTAATCAGGGAGGGATGTCATGAATAAGGACTACTGCTCTGTACTATTGTGTCTATATCTCATATATGGAAAACTCCATTACAATTAGAATCTCCACTGAAAGAAGACAGCATTCATTCTACTGGTACTACTGATGTAGGATGAGAGTCAAATGTCAAACAAGTCTCTTGTATGTTCACTATTGATGTGTGAACACTAGTACAGTATGTAAAGATATTTTGATGGAGATTTATGAATCAATCATTTATTAACAGAACATTTTAATATTCTTGACAAGTAGACATTATTAGAAATTATGTTATTGAAAAGTGGAAGTAGTTTAAAGGAAAACAAATGAGGGGAAGGAAAAGGAACAGTTAAACTAGAAATGAATAATAAATATGCAATATTATACAGACTAAACTACTAAGAAATTTTTCTCACACTTTAGAAACAGTCGGCAATGGTCTTTTAAACAAAGAACTAAGATAAAGACCAGCATATCAAATAAGAACTCTTCAGTCATGGGCAAAAATTTAATTGATGCATGTCCCTATTAATAATGGGAGCTTTTTGATGGACTTCAGTGAGGCTAAGATTTCACCTGCACTGTCCACAAAAGTGTGTGTGGAGAGGTGGGGGAACAGCAGTGTGGTGGGAGGGGGAAGGGAGGTTCACCTAAATATTGTTTTAACTTTCAGTTGTGTCACATTCTGTTATTTTTTTGTAATCACTGAGCACGCAAGTATTTGCCTGCTGTATACTCTCCAAGGTAATTTGAAAAACAATGAAAATTACCCATGATAACATTAGTTGGCAGTAAGCATCAGCACTGAGCTATGGCTATCAAGTAATATAAGCCAAAAATGTAATAAACAAGGCCACTCTGCAAAGTCCTATGTAAGAGGCTATTTTTTCCTTATTCAGTAAAGAACAATGGCTGTGGTCTCAGCTGTGCGAAGTTTCCTTAAGATGAAGCATTCATTAGTGCTTTTTTACTTTATTTGAATTTTAATTTGGTTAACAGAAGCATAAAGGCCCTTAAGGTTCATCAACTCCTGATATATTACTTCTGCTGACATTATTGGATTCGATTTAGTACAATGTATCCAATAAAGTCTAAGCCTACTGTTTTCCACAAATAAACCTGTCTTTATGTTGGTCTCTACAATCACTCAATGCCCTTATGGCCTTGGCAAATGTAAATTATTTGGCCCAGTTACATCTTCAGCAGAAAACATAATTAAAAAAATATTAGCACCACTTGCTGAAATGTAATACTTGCACTCCACATTCAAACATAATAAAATGCACTTAATATTTATTTAGAGAATTGAACCTTTGCTATGCATTTTATTACCTCACAATGATTGAGGCAGTCTCCCTCAGCAATAATTTCAAGACGTTTTGATTGTACTGTTTAAATAAAAATCCCTTTTGGCATTTAAATGTGCATATAAAAGCAAGTTTACTGCAGTATTCAAAATATCTATATTTTAAAAACCTGTGCATTACACATCTGTATTTAAAAGTAGTTCCTTACTTTACAGGGGTGTTGTGAGGACACATACATTAAAGATTGCGAGACACTCATATACTATATTAATGGGGGCCATATAAATACCTAAGATAGAGGGACGCAAAAATTAAAATATCAAATTTATTTTAAAAATTTAACTTGTTTGTTACCTTAACCACTTCACCACCATCAACTTTCATCAGCTGTCTCAAATTCTGCTGCAGCAAGTTTGTGTTAGATCGCCATTTCAAAAGCCCCAAGAGATCCACTAGAAGTGAGGAAACGTTAAATTATTATGTGCTGCAGGGGTTATGCTCTCATTCACATAGCATGGCTATATTCATAATAAATAAAAACTTCACTTCCAAGTTAGTCATTTTTATTGGCTGTTTACACATTTCATTACTGTATATCTGCATTGCTGAAATCTAGTACCACTATATTCCTACTTTCAAGTGCATTTACTCTGAGAATGTCATCCATGGAAACTTAAGAAATTCAAAATCAATAGTAATTATGATAAGGATACCTTTGTGCTATAGCATACAGACTATGATTTTTATTATGAAAGCACTGCTATTTTCAAAAAAGTGGATTACATTTGCAAAAGGTACTTTTAGAAAGGAGGCTGAGAAAGTGCTGGTTTCTCAACACTTTGTTTCATCTGGGAGCTATCAGACAATAACTCATACAGTTCAGGTCAGGTTTTCTTCCACAATCATTTCCACAAGTTCATGGGTTCCCTTCGGGTTTTCAGCTCATTGCTGGGGCCTCACTGTACTAGCCTGGTACAAGGGTTAAGGAGCTGGGGAAGGAGGTTAATCTCCTTGTTGTGCCTCACATTAAGATTCCCAACCCCATTTCCCAGTTTCTTTATGGGATGCCTTCCCCTCAGTCCACTTTCAACTCCAGTTTATCATGGCACTATACACCTGCCGCCTACTAAATAGCAACAACCTGAACCAAACCTTCTGACCCACTCCACCAGGTCTCTGAGCTGCAGTGGGTAAGGCGAAAGCCCTTCCTGCACTGGCCAATCTAACAGTGAAGACAAAATTCCTTCCCAGTCTCAATAAAGGTGACAAGCACAATGCTCACAGCAGACCAAAAAAACAACTCGGTGCTATTCTAACCCAGCAGTGAGTGGGGCTCATATACTCTCCCCAGGGTAAACAAGGGTCAGAGGCTTAGCTTAGCCCTGCTAGCCAGCCCATCAATTTACATGATGCTTCCCACACTCCACCACAGCCCCATCCCTCTCTCAATCCCAAGGGAAAGGGAAACCCTTAAAGGAGCTATACCCTTACGCCTCCAACCAGTCCAGATCTCATGCCTTTGAAGCTGCAGAGGGTGCATTCTTCTGTGGCATTTAAAATTAAAAAAAAAAACAACGCAGAAACTATTTTTTAAAGCTAACAGCTGAAGAGGTGATCTAGCAATGTATTTTAAGAATGCAGCAGATGTATACGTTAGATATCCCATGGAAAAAAATAAAGTACATAACTACCTAATGTACATAATAAATGCATCAGTTCTTTAAACCATACTACAGTATGGCAATTTACTATTAAAAAAATGGTACCTCTGAGTAGTATTCCTCCAAAGGAAAAGGTCAAGTTCTTACTAGGTAGAGTTTTGTTTACAAAATACTTAAATAACCAATAGCAACACATGGAGTAGCATAATTTTTGAGCATCAACAAATGTTTCAAGGCTATTACCTTCTCTAAAGTGAATGCCATAACACTACGTAAAGAGATACATTTATAAATTGAAGGTGAAAGAGACACTGGTTTGGCTGAAACAGATTAAAGTGATGGGCAAAGGGGTGGGGGGGAAATCTTTCATCTGGGAAGTGCAAGCTAAAAAAGACTGCCCCTTATTAGAAGATACATTTCCCAAAGTAGGACAGTAGTAAGTGAAAAGTATTACTAATTCAACTGGCAATAAAATATAATCTCCACCCCTCCCCCCCCCAAAAAAAAAAAAAAAAAAAAATCAAGAATGGGGTTTTAGGGGACTTACTTTAGCCACTGGATTAATATTTTTTTCAGAAATAGACATGTTTTATCTGATTAAGTAAGAGCTTGCTTATAAGCTATCTCCCATCTCACTTCCTTCTTCAGATTCAAGAAGGTTCAGCACCCAACGAACTCCCTCAAAGGAGGGAGTACAATCAAGCATTCTGGACCTCTTTTTCAGGAAATACAAAACATGAGAAAACTGGTCACTTTAACCCCGGATGTCTCTCTTAATTCCAGGTTCTTTTTTAGACTTGTCAGGAGTAGGGGATAGATTCTCCAGCTAAATGCTGGACAACAATCTGGCCTCAATGTCTTATCTTTACTGATTCTTATCTTGAAATAATTAGATTGGCATAAAGGAGGACGAGTCTCCTCCCCAAGGGAGGATCTTGTTTTAGCATCCTAGACATGTGTCTGCATCATAAGCTTGTCAGCTGTCTACACCAGATTAAATTGAAGGGGACGAGAGACCAACAGTGTTAGAAATCTCAGAGACAACTGCACACAACGGCTGAGTGTGTCTTGGCAAGAGAAGGAAAGAGACTCCATCAGACCAGGTTTCAATATCCTGCTATTGCACTGGTCTCTCATGCCTATTCAAATATTAACTATGAAAAAACAGATGTCTGCTTAGAGAAACGAACAAAATTCATGATTTCAGTGCCCAACATTTGCTACTTAGAGATAATGATCAGATGTTAAGGACACATATTCAAGATTTGATAGACAAACAACATCTGAGAGGCACTGTCGCTGAAGGAATGGAATTCTAAAGGGGATGTTGTCAAACCTGTGTATCAGAATACACCAATATGCAGTGTCGAATGCAATGCAAAAACAAAACCAGACATATCATGATTAACTAAAATATGGGAGGTAGAAAAGCTGAATTTCAAAACTACTAAAAGAGCCATAAATCCATCTTTAACATGCTGTAGAATGGCTAACAAAAGGAGTACAGAACATCAAAAAAGGAGGAAATTAATCTTTAAAATCAACATTATTGTCTAATTCGCTAAAAGAACCACTGCCATGGATTTACTGCTCATAGGATATTAAAGGGACACCGGAGAGTTGAAATGTATTTTAAAAAAAAGTTAAAAGTAGTGTCAGGAACTAAATGTATCCCTGAAACCCCAGCCAACTGTTGTGATTTTGCAATTATATTATCTATTTTTTAAATGGTTTTCTATTCCAGTTGCTGTTTGTGCAGCTTTTACCTACGAGGGAAATAGTTAAACTGACTACACACAAAGGAGAGTCAAATGCACGAAGTAAGCAAATTGAAGAGATTAGAAAAATATTTATTATAATAGGAAAATTAGAAAAATCATAGCCATTATTTTAACAATAGTTTTAACTATTTCAGCCAGAAGTGTCATTTCTAAGTTGATTGCATCCCTTTAAAAAAAGAACTCCCATTTTTCAATTAATAGAAGAATTAATAGAATATATTATTTCTTGATGATGTTATATTTTTTCTTTCTAACATGTCTATGAATGAATATACAAGGAACTTATTGACACTGTCACAACATTACACAGGTCTTGTTTTTGACTAAAAGTTACAAGAACATAATTATCAGCAACATGAAATAAGGAATTACAGTATTAACCAAAGTATAAAGCACATGTAAGTTATCTATTAAGGATTTATTACTGTTCTCTCAGTCTTAGTATTCACTATATTTACTCCATCAAAGTCCTATTAACTCATTAACCAAACTTCTGAATACTACTAACATTAATTAGTAAACACATAAGAAAAACTGTAACAATAAACATTATTAATCACAAACTAAAATAATGTTTCCAGCAGTGCAACCCTCTATATTGCATTCTGTCAGCTACATTTTATGAAACTATAAAATTACTGTTTTATCATTAGGATGTTATCATATATTTGGGTTGCAATTCAAAAATTATTTCAGAATTATTGCTAAGTATCTCCTTATGCCATAATATTGGTTGACTGCAGTGAATCTTATGTGCTTTGAATATAAAACAACCGGAATGTGTTTCAGAGATGTCACAAAGTACTGCAGTATAATTGTGAGGTGACTACGAAGTCATATCAGACCTGTGATTTTTCTACTTGGATAGGAACTGAATAAAGAATATATTTACAGGACAATCTTAATGGTTGCTGGCAGTAACACATCACTCAGTATTGTACACTTTACACAATATGTGTATTTATAAGAACTTATGTAAAATACTAGTGAAAGAGGGGTACAGATCAACACAGTCATTCATGGTATTAAATCCACTGAAAGTTTTAATTAACCTGTGTCAATTCGATATTGAAGTATTCCAAAATACTATGTGTATGAACTGTCAATTAAGTTAAGCTATCTCAAAGGCACAGATCCAACCACATTTTTGAAAGAGAGGACAGAGAAATTACATACTGCAGAGGACTTGTGTTCATTAGGTTAGACCCCTCTAGGCTAGGTTCCTTCTGGCCTCCAAAGTCTGGGGTTCCATCATACATCACTAAAATAGCCAGCCTCCAAGTACTACCTGATCCCTCTCCCCCGGTGACTCCTATAATGACTATCTCCTTTCCCAAGATGACTCCATCACTCCCAGATGACTTCCCCTACCCCATATCCTGAATCCTATCCACTAATCTAGAAGCAAGGAAGGAGGCTGATCAATCCATAGGAACAGAGTGAAAACAAAAGAGCTGGCTGGAGAAGAGGATCAGTTGCTTCAATGACCCGTGAGCTGTATCAGTGACTATGCCAAAGGAGCATGAAAAGCAGGTCTGAGGCTGAAGGGTTTAGAGGAGATACTATGATGCTAATCACATCCCTGCCACTCCATGCCCAATCCTTAAACTCCAGCCATGGGGCACATTCTACAGAGAGGGTGAGGCTTGGCAACTTCCTCCTCCCTCCCAGACCCTTCTATCCATCCCTGCTCTGGTCTCTGTGCCAGACATAAAAAGAGGATGGAACTTGTCACTTGGAGAACCCTGCACACACAATGAAAATCAAATAAGGCAGCCCACTGGGGACCATAGCCATTCCACCACCCTCTTTACCAGCTCTTCTATACACAGAGGCACTTTGAAGGGATACTAGGAATGTGTTCCATCATCCTCTCCCACACACCTGTTTGCACCCATGCTAGAAACTAAAGTTTTAGATAAAGCCTATGGTGCCCTGTTTTACACCCAGAAGGACCTTGGCTTAAATGGGCATGGAAATATTTTCTGATCCCTAGGCAGAGCTGGACTAAAGTATATAGACTGAGCAAGCTGTGGATGCTACACTGCCAATTCTCATACTGTACTTGTGCTGTGTCTAGACAGGACTTCATTTGCCAGGGCTGCCAATCAAAACCCTTCACAAGCAGTATAAAATCCCCTAAATAAAAGAAAATAATACTACATTCCTTCCCCGCTGATAAATGGGGGGAAGTTAAGGGGACACGTGGGGTAGAGAGACATTTCTTCTAACAACTCACCATTCTGAGTGAGTTTTGTTGAACAAACAAGAGTAGAAATCTGGAAAGAATCTTTGCTGATGGTGCAACTTCCAAGGTTTTGCATGCTCTTCCCAGTTGTGGTGTGCCCTTTTTCTTCCAATTCTATTTTAGTGGATGGCAAGCTTAAATACGTTGAGGCATCCTCCAACTTCTTTGCTTCTGCCTGCAAGATTTTTTTTTTAATCAAAAAATAACATGAAAAATAATTAAAATAATAAAGAACAAAGTTACATAGTATATTCTCAAACAGGAATAAAGATATTTATCCTAAATCTCTATGTAACTATTTATGGTCGATGTACTTTATGTTTGTTCCGGTTTTAGAGAAATTTCAGGTTAAAGTCTGTTTGTTCGTTTTTTTAAAAAGGCCTGAACAGCTCTAGCACCTACATGGTTTGGAGCAGGAATGTGAAATTTCACATGGCCAAAGGCGTGCTTTTTTTGCTCTCCCATGAAAATCCATCCATATGCAGCCAAGTTACAAACCCTACAAAATCAGCATTTCCACATGCACAGTACAACTTGTTCAAGACCTGTCCCTCAATTTTCCGAATATCCCAACTGTACAGTACATGCTGCTGGGTCCTGCTGAGCGCTCTGGGCATCATTCTGAAAGAGCCATACAGAAATGAACCTCCATTACCGCCCATCCCTTTTACGTTTCCACTGCTTGACTCTGCTAACAATGTTCTTTAAATATAGTATTTTGCATGTACTTACAACTAGACCGATGTGTAATAGATTCCATAAAGTGAAGCTTTCACAGTAAACAAATCTGTGCAAGGACTGAAGCAAATATCTTTAAAATTATACCTTGTACACTATAAGATCATGCTCTCCATCCCTTAAAGTTGTTCCATCATATCTCATCAGCTTCACAAATGCTAAAGCAAATATTTTCTCTGATTTATCTTTGGCTGTTAAAAAAAATAAGACACACAGCATAGTTTAAGTAATTGATATTGACAGAGACACTCCTCCAATATCTCAAGGAAAGATCATTTAGAAATAGTCTGACAGTGATAAGGCTTCCCATATGCAGGAAAAGGGCTAAGAAATTTAATAAGGATGCAGTCCTCTATACATAAGACAAGCTAGATAGTAAAATAAAGATTTTTCAAACACAGGTGCCTAAAACTGACCTCTTTGGGAGCTGCTGGGCACTCAGTACTTCTGAAAGTCAGGCTGCTTATGGATTTAAAAGCCTAAATTGAGGCACCAATGTAGTAAAATCTTGACCTACATTTTTATACAAATCCCAAATTACTATTTGACAGAGCAACAAGTCGGTATCTCTTATACCTGGAATGATATGTTGTCAGCTATTTTATTACTACAACTTATTATTTGTATTACCATTGCACCTAGGAGCCCTACTTATGGCTCAGGACCCATTATGCTAGTCACTATACCAACACAGAACAAAAAGACGGTCCTTGCCCCAAAGCAGCCCACACATAAGCATCCTTAATGAAAACCCGACACATAATTACACTGCAGTAGAGATGAGGAGGTCGCTTACCTGCAACTGGAGGTTCTTCGAGATGCATGGTCCCTATTTGTATTCCCAAGGCAGGTGTGCATGCGCACCATGCGCCGAAGCCGGAAGTTTTCAGCAGCATCCGTTGACCCACACATGAGTCATATGTTGCCTTGTGTTCCAGGAGAGGTTATAAGAGGCCATGCAAGCCGACGCACCCTCGGTCACCCTCTTGCTGCTGAATAGAGCTGTGCGCAGCACAGGAGATGATGGATGGGTATTGGAATACAAATAGAGACCACACATCTCAAAGAACCTCCAGTTACAGATAAGTAACCTCTTCTTCTTTGAGTGAAGGTCCCTAAATGTATTCCAAACACGTTTGCGTATCAAGCAGTGATCAGCTTGGAGGTGGGTGCCAGGATGCAAGAGGTATCACCGCCTGCAGGATGGCATGGCCCACAGTCACGTCTTCGGCTGCCCCTTGGCCGATGGCACAGCGGGCGGTGAAGGTATGTAGAGAGCGGCCAGGTTGCCACTCAGCAGATATTGTGCTAGTGGACGTCCACCAGGGGGGCAGAGATGGTTGCTTACACCCTCATGGAGTGGGCCATAATTCTGCCAGGCGGTGTGGCATTGGACTACGCATAGCACTCTGTGATGCAGGTAGAGACCCACTTGGATAAAAGGCTGTTGAGGAGAGGGCCAGGCTCCTCAACCGCTCTGCAGTGCTATGAGACGGTGTGGAGAAGCACGGAAGGCACGGGTTCTGTCTAGGTAGAACGCGAGTGCACAGCAGACGACCAAGGAGTGCAGCGTCCTGTGCGTGGGAGTGGCATGCAGTTTAGGATGGAAGACCGGAAGATGGATAGACTGGCTGAGGCGGAACTCAGAGACTACTTTCGAGAGAAACTTAGGGTGAAGGTGTAATGAGACTTTGTCCTTATGAAAGACCATATATGGGGGGGGGGTCAGCCATCATGTCTGCCAAGTCTCTGACCTGCCTGACAGAAGTGATGGCCACGAGAAGATGACCTTCATGGGTAAGTGTGAGGGGGAGCACATGGCCAGGGGCACGAAGGGAGGTCTGGTGAGGGCAGAGAGCACAAGATTGGGGTCCCAGGGAGGGGTAGGTTTAAGGACTGGTAGGAAGCTGTTCGTCAAAAAGTATCTGTCCACTGGTGGGAGGAAGGCACTAAGAGCTGCCAGGTGGTCCCAGACAGAGCTAAAGCCGAAGCCCAAGGTCTTAAGTTCTAAGAGGTAGTCCAGAATAAGGGGGACAGAGACGTCTTTAAGGGGGAGACAGTGACGTTGCACCCAGGACGTGAAAAACTTCCACTTCACCGCGTAGCAAACCCGTGTGGAATCTCATCTGCTGTGCATAAGTATGTGTCGCACTGGTGTCAAGCAGGCATGGTATATATGCGATCCCCATCCAAAAACGAGGCCGTCAGTCGAAGCAGGCCTGGGCTGCGATGTCGGACTCTGCCCTGGTCCTGCGTGAGAATGTCTGGCAGATCAGAGTGACAGATTGGGGGTGGGGGCTGAGAGTCTGAGTAGATACTAGGAGGACCATGGCTCGGTCATGGCAGATCTTGCACAGAATTTGGAGGAGAAGGGGGATGGAGGGAAAGGCATATCAGAGACCACCTTGCCATGGGACAAGCATTGGCCTGGGAATTGCGGCCCCTGGCTCCCTTTGAGCAGTAGAGGAGTAACTTACAGTTTTCACAAGTGGTGAAAAGGTCCTCAGCGAGGGGTGCCCCAAGCATGGCAGATGAAACAGAAAATGGGGTTGCGGAACTCCCACTCATGACTGAGGTACCAGGTCCAGCTAAGCGCGTCTGTCAGGGAGTTTTGTGCCCCGGGAGGTATGCCGCATGGAGTGTGACATATTATCCAAGACAATCATATATAATACCTATATCAAATGAATTCTATCACAGTCAAAGTAAATCCTTCTATTATTAGAACAGTAATTGCTAACATATGGAAAATGCTTAGTCACAAGGCATCATTCTGGATGGCTCAGAGTATCTCGACTGATAATGATTTTAAAGGAAAATCAGTGGGAGTTGCAGGAAGGCAAATAGCTTGCATATCCAAACCATAATTTGAAAACAAAACAGCAGGTCAGTATCAGAATTAGAACCCAGGTCTAAACTGCCTTAAGTACACAAGACCACAGTGTCTCCCAACCAAGTCAAGTGCCCTGTCTCCATTTTCCTCATCTGAAACAGGAGGCTCCTCACCTCCTACTTACCTACCTATCTACCCATGGGCCTCTTGCTTAAGGCAAAGCTGGCATTTGATTTATTTACTGGGTCTCTTATTTGGTGACTTAGGAAGAAGGTGTGTAGGAAAGAAGGAAGAGGGCATGAAGGCTATCAGGAGAGGAAGAGGAAACAGAGGAAAAAAGACAAGCTGTACAGCACCTAGTACAATGGAGCTCCTAGGTGCTACGATAATAAATAAATAAATAGTAGTGATAGTAGAAGTACCTCATCCCCACACTAATAGCCAGAAACAATCTCTCCCTTCAGGCACCAGGAATTGACAGAAGCAACAGGGGAACAAAACTGAAGTACTCACAGTCCTGTGATGATCTGTGACGGAATGTAAACCTTAAATGACTGCGGTTCACATCTTCAATAGGAATTGCCACCTTCACAAATTAAAACAGGAGAGAGAAATAAGACCCATGACTTCAGATAGTTGTTACCAATACCAGACTTTCACAGAGGTTCTTCAAATGTATTTTCTGCATTTTTAGAGAGAGTAATGTAATTTTAGCTTTCTTGCATTTCTAATAATTTGCTTGGCTCTTTCCAAATGAGATATTTAAGGACCAGCACAACTTTTCCATGAAAGGCCTTTAAAGTCCCTAGCTCCCTTGGAAGAAATCTCCACTCCCTCAGCCATTAGCAGGCTGGGAGAGAGCCATGCCTACTAAGTTCCCTATCACATGACCTTATGGGACAGGCAAGCTACACAAGGGACACCAAAACCCAGCAGCCCTCACCCCCACCAATATCTGAAGCAGCCCCTTCTACATTCGTCAGGGCAGAGCCTTTACATAGAACTTACGTAGAGCCCTTCAGTTCTATGGACATCTGCACATCATCAACAACAGACATTGTATTCTTTACCCCTCAGATGTTGTCAGTTCCTCTGACCTCAAGTAATAAGACTCCTGACACTTACACTATAACTACATAACTCTCTAGACCAGTCTCTCTCTCTGATCCAGGTGGTTGCTACTGCTGCTGTCAACAACTGTCACTACTGTCAAATCAGTTTAACGGCCTTGGTCTCACCGTACCACTTGTACTAGTAGCCCTTTTCTTGACCTCACCCCGCCCCAACTTCACTTTCACAATGTCTTCTTCTCTCCACTATCTAAATATCCAGTGCACCCTAACCTGTTTTTAATTATTATTAATTATTATTATTAACAACACACCCTCAATCACCTCATTTGTACAGACACAAAGTTATATCATTAAAAACTTCAGCTTAAGAACAGTTCAAGTAAGTCACACCAAGATACGCAAACCTAACCAACCATATGATCTTGTGACTGTCTTACATTCCCTTACCTCACCCATTCAATTTTTTCACTGTAAAAGGCCACACACACCTAGGGTGATGCATTAAATAAATAAATAATCTTTAAACAAAATCACAAGTCTATATATTTCTCCCCTCGTTATTTAATTAGGGAAGTCCTATTTTCTTAAGCATATTTAAATTTGGATTGCATGTTACTGATCTACAAGTCTGCAATTCATTCTGCCTCACCACAACCATTTTCTGTGGGTACGTCTATACTGAAAAAAAAAAAAAAAAAATCCAAGCAGTAGTCAGTCTCATAGCCCAGGTTAACTGACTTGGGCTCACAGGGCTCACTCTACAGGGATAAAAATAGTTCCCACTCAGGCTGGAGCTTGGGCTCTGAGACCCAGCAAGGCAGGGAGCATCTCAGAGCCTTGCCCCAGCCCAAGCAGGAACATCTACACAGCGATTTTTAGCCCTGTAGTTCAAGCCCCACAAGCCCAAGTCACTTGACCTTACCTCGGAGACTCGCTGCTGCAGGGTGGGCTGGGGGGGGTGCACTGTAGACGCACTATTAATTCTCACAGCAGCAAACTCCTGGCTGCAACTGCAATGAGAAAGCCGTCTTTTTTGGAAAGAATATCGAGAAAGAAAAAAAATTAGCCAAGTCTCCTTCCAATTAACATTCTTTCCAGCAATAACAGCCAATATGTGTCTTTCAGAAGGCTACCCTAGCCTCATTTTTAATATTAAATCTTTGGCACCTAGCTTGGGAAGTTGTTACTATGGTGCTAATTTAGCATCATTCGCATAATGCATCAGTAAACCCGGCATCCCAATATACTAATGAGCAAGTCACTATAATATATGTTTACCATGATTTCTTTGTACTGTTGTTTACAAAAGAAAGTTATCTTAAACGGATGGTGGAATATCCCTGTCAAAATCTATTTTGACCACAAGGATGGAAGAGTAATTTACATTCTATTAAATGCCAATGTTCCTTAGCAACCTTGAAAGGCTTTTGCTTAGCTGATACTTTTACCCTTCCTACAATTGACCACATTAATTCCCTTTAATTTTGTTCTTAAAGATTTCTTATTAAAATCTATTCTCATTTTATTTTAAATTAACCCATTATGAGGAAAATTATTTTATCATCATCTGTACCTTGACAGTCTCAAACCAGCGAGGTTGTTTCACTTGGTAATAGATCACTGACTTGTATTCTGAGATAGCGTCATCACCAGCCCCAGGAAAAATCACACTCTTGAAAGACAAGGAATAAAAATATTTACCCACACATACATACCTATCTAACAGAGAACAAGTAAATCAGCATTGTCTTTCAGTAGTGAAAGAGGAAACAATAGGTAGGTTAGAATAAAAGAGGTCTTATGCTCCAAGTTAATCACTAGTTAATTTCAATCAAACTGCATGCAATGATACCACAATATTTATTTATTTGTCACAAATAACAAACTAAAGTATTTGTTCTTTGGTGTGAGAACTTGGGCAAGGCATTCTTAAAAAAAAAAAAAAAAAAAAAAAAAGCCTTCAGATTTTGACAAATACCAAAGATGATGATGGAAAAATGTGGACAAATATACTGAAATATTTCAGAGATTACATTTTCCAATAGAAATACCTCCAATCTTTTGCCATCTTCATCATAAACAGATACTGTAACTTCTACATTCTTTGCTGTTGTTTTGCTGCCTTTGTCAAAATCTCCTTGAACTAATGTTACATAGATATCATTGCGAACGTCACCTGGCAGGACAAAAAAAAATAAAAAAATTAAACTCACAATGTTCATATGCAGTTCTGCATAAAACAATGAAGTATAAAACCATAATAAGAGACTTTAAAGGAACATTTGTTAGGCAAGTAATCAAGTAATGCTTTTTTCTCAAATTGGTCTTTTTTAAAAATCATATTTCAAAACTTCCAGATATACAGACACATTTAACAGGTGACTTAAGAAATAAAGCAAACATTTGGTACATATAACAGTCATCCGAACCATGTGAATACAATTACCCATTATTGCATTCAAGTACGTGAACTAAACATGTAGTTGTCCATTTATACATGTAGTTTAAGCTGCCCCTTTTGAAACTGTATACATTGCTTCACAGATTCACTGGTAACGAAGTAGTCAACACCACTCAGGTGCATGTGATTTGAAACAAATGAGATGCTCTACTATCTGAGTACAGCTACTCAATGTCTATGACTTTGTGACTAAATTATTAATGTAAAATTTTTGAGGCAGGAAGTACTTAATCTAAACTGAAAAAAATAATTATGAACCAAAATATTAGTAATTTTTATGGATTTGATTCAGACAGTTATATTCTATTATCTGTGGCAATGTATCAATTTACTGCCCTAAAAAGTATGAACTTTAGCAGCGTGTCCAATTTTGCTCTTAGTATCCCGATGCAATTATTGACACCTACCAGGCATAATAATCTCAGGAAACCCCATTTTCCGAGCCACAGCTGTGGACCTATCCACCAAGTGAGGAAACTCTTTCCTAATCTGATGAATATCTCCTGGAAGAAGTTTCAAAGTCACCCATAAACCTGAAGCATAAAATATAATTATTAGACATATTTTCCAATTTTTTAAAACAAACAAAAGAGTCTTATAAACTTCAAAAGACAATGCACATAAAATTAACTAAGCCTTGCCCCCAAAACATTTACATTTTGCAACACTAGACTAGAAATAATTATTTAAGAAAAACTTTGAAACAGAACTACAACTATCACACCTAGAATGCACTGGGTACATCAGATTAGAACAGATTTTAAGGCAAACAATACAAAATCGATAGAAAAACTGGAAATCCAGTGTGTGTGTGAGAGAGAGAGAGAGTGTGTTGGAGACATAGTGGATGTGGCTCATGTAGCCTACACAATACCTTGTAGGAGATTCCTAAAGGAGGATATAGCATTTGAGGCCACAATTCCACAATGCGTGCACAAGGGCAGGCGGACCCCTGTGCCCACACAAAGTCAATGGGTTTCTATGTAGGTGCAGCTCTGCCCACTCTTACACATGCAGACATACACAGTAGCAGAATTAGGGTCCTAGTTTATTTTTTCTCTGGGGAATGTAATGCAATCCATTAGCAGTTTGTTGTCTATTGCATGTTAATAGATGGCAATGATAGGAAGGAATTTCCTCTTTTCACACAGGAGAATATATTTTGACAAGCATGATGGCTGATTAGGTGGGATGGGATAATCTTTTTCAAGTCTAAGAAAACAGAATTTGGGGAAGGGCTTCAGTAAAACAAAACTTAAGTCCAGCGTAGGAACAGTTTTTGCAGTACCATACAACATGAGTATGGATTGGCAGAAAGAAGTTGGAATCTTCAGTGCTTCAATGGGCGCAGTGAAGTTTGCACTGTGGAGCTGCTATAGCACCTTTTAAATAAATTCTGCACTGAACAAGATAAAATAGGTCCCACGGAGTATCCCAACTGTCCTCAAAACTGGAGCTAGTTCTTCTCAGGCTTGAATTCAGAAAATGGTTATTAAGCCATCAATAGCACTGGTCTGCAACTTACGCCTGCCCTCGGATTTTTCATAAATCTTCCAAATGAGACAGTAAAGGTTTTTATTCTTTTCATAGGAAAAGTACAAGGGGCAGCATTAGTTAGAATGGAAGATCTGAGAAAAAAGTATCAAGTACCTGAGGAAGATGTCCCCAACTCTGATACTCTTCCCCAATGCACATTATCTGGTTATGCCAGGAGGAGGACAGGAGAGACTGGATGCACTTTAATCAGGCTACAACTTTAGTCCTAAAAGTCTGGAAGTACCCAGCTGGTAAAATTTTACACTACAGGTAATTCCATAACCATTTACATACCTCTGTGGGGGCTGCTGTCAGTCCACTCCTTTACCCAGCCTGGTTGCCAGGCAACCTGCTTCTGGGACCTCAGCACACCTCTCCCTCCATCAAATGAGGGTTAAGGGTGACTATTGGGGGACAGGGGTTGACTCCCTGCCGTAACAGTTACAGGAGACCCGAACAGCTCCCATATCCACTCCTTTAAAGAATACCTCCTTTAAATACTTTCCCATTTGATCTGATGACCATATCCACTCCCTAAGGAGTACCTGCACTGGACATCCGCCACAAGCTACCAATTAATTGCAACATCATAGCCTAACCCCCCACCCTTTTGTTTGTTCCCCCCCCATTCAGCTCCCAACCCACTGTAGAGAAGGCAAAAAACCCACCTCGACTTGGCCAATCTGACCATCAGGAAATATTCCTTCCCAGCCCCCCAAGAAAGGAGTAACTGTCCTAATGCCCAGAGCAGATCATGACAAAACCTGGTATTTCAAGTACTTCCATGAGAGGGAGGGTGGGTGCTGCTCAGCCTGGTTCAGATTTTTGTTTTTTGAATAGGCTTTTATTGTAGATGGGGCATAAACAGCTTCCCCCAGACACACACTGGTCACCTGGTGGGAAGGATGGATCAGTGTCCCCAACACTAACCAGGCATAGAGCTGCCTGCCTCTGTAGCAGATAACTCCGGTTCTCTAACCCTGCAAGGGGCAACATGCTTCCTCCAACAAGCCAAACAACCCCACTGCTTCATATGCTGAGAGATCATTTTTGCATTTCATCTATGGGGATAACCAAGGCAAGTATAACTTGTACCATTCTGAAAACGTCAACGATGCCTTCAAAATGTCAACATTTGCCAACAGACACCATGCAATTACTTCCTGTGCTATGGCACAGATGAGAACTGTGGAATCTCAGATACCAATGAGGGATAACTTGGTAAACGGACTCCTTAATGGTGGTCATTGCAATGAGATATAAGAGTTAAATAAAAACAAAGGCAATTACAGAAGTGAAAGAAAAAGCAGCAATACAATAAAACAGTACATCAAGCAAATTTTACAAAAACAAAAAACAATGCATAATGTTTGTAACAGGATAGTAACACAATCAGCAACTTGTGCACTCGCAGCAAGTACTCTCCATCCACTAAATTTTTTTATTTTTACAGATGAAGAATCCAAAACGAAATTTAAAGTTACAATTTAGTAACTTGTAATAATATACCTCCCTACAAATATTGGCTGGAGTGGCAGTTCAAAATAGCAGAAAAAAACTTCTTAAACAAAACACATTCTCCTCTTTATATTGCTATTGTATAAAAAAGCTACAATTTTGTTATGCATATATGAGTGATCAAAGTGTATTTTCTTTAAACCCTTTGCTCAGACACTTTATAAATAAAAGAAAAATAGTTCCAAGAGGAAATTGGTAGACTGAGATTCTGCATTTACTTAGGCTAGGTCTACACTACGGGGGGCGGGCGGGGTCGACCTAAGATATTCACGTAGCTGAAGTTGCGTATTTTAGGTCGACTTACCTGGCTGTGAGGACGGCGGCGAGTCAACCGCTGCCGCGCCGCCGTCGACTCCGCTTCCGCCTCTTGCCGCGGTGGATTTCTGGAGTCGACGGCAGAGCCATCGGGGATCGATTTTATCGCGTCTTCACTAGACGCGATAAGTCGATCCCCAATAGATCGATTGCTACCCGCCGATCCGGAGGGTAGTGAAGACATGCCGTTACACAATGAGGAGTTAATCCAAGACCAGAAAAAGAACGAATCAAGTATATAGCACTAGGGTGGAATGCATTTAAATTTTTTAACTAGTACATATCTTTTATATTTATATTCATGTCAGCAGAGAATACACTTAATTATCTGTTCAACCTATAGACAGTAATTAACAGTGTTGTTTATTTTGCAGCCCTCCTTTACCAACTCAAAACACAAGTTGGTATCAATTCTGATGAGAGTAATTGCCTTGTCATATTGACAGCAGACCAACTGCTTTGACTACAATTGCTAATAGGAAAAAATGAGAAAAATGGGGAGGAGAGGAACACTCCCCACCCTGCCCCCTTGATGGACCCAGGGTGTGCCAGAGTTCAAAGGCATGAAAGCCAGTTCTTGAAGTCATTGCTTTCAATACACAAACGTACAAGAATGAATAAGGCAGAAATACAGACGCATGTAAAAGTGGCCAAGCACTGCATAAGGACAGAAAACAATCTGTAGAATAACAATACTCCGGAAGCGGGGGGGAAGGAGGGGGAAGAGGGCACGGAGAGAATGAGGAAGAACCGGGGGGGGGGGGGGGGGGGGGAACAGGACAGGTGTCTTTTCTGGTATCAAACCAATAGCAAGCAAACAAACAAACAAAAAAAATGAATCCTCCAGTCCAAATTAAAATAGTCAGATGGTGTGAAGCAAGGATATATTTTGTATTCCAGTTTACATAAAGAATAGTACCTACCCTGACCCTTGTGGTTAACTTCTTTAGCAGCAATCACTTTGTTTATAACAGTCTGAAGGAAATCATTCTCCCCTGCCACCCTGGGTGAAAAACGGGATGATATGTTCAGCTGCTTGTGTCGAATGGCGTCATCCAATGCTAGCCTGGAGGATGCACATGACGACCAACACCAGGAAACAAAGGGTCACAGAAAACCAGAAGTCACAGTAACAAGGGAACACAAAAGATCATATCATAGTTGTGACGAAGAGTATTTATTAGTCAACGCAAGACAAAAGACAGGAAAGGTAACAAGAAAGACATAGGAAGATCATTAATCAGGAAAATGCTGACCTGCTAAAGAGAAGTCAAGCAATCCTATGTTACCCTTCCCAACGGGAACATGCATGTGTCAGGTCCCAATCCCACTTCCAATAAATAGCATGTGTAGTAGTAAAGAAGAACACTGATCTCCTGAGAGACCCATGTTAAATATTGAAATCCAATTGGGATGATTTTGCAAAAATGTACAGTATGTTAATTCAGTGCAACCTTCAGAGTAGCTTCTACAATTGAATATATTAAGAGGTAGTGTATATGGTTTGATGGAATTTACAAAAGAAAAAACTTTTACAGTTAACAGAAATGGCTTAGTGCAAGAAAAACAAACAGATAATCCATCATTTTGTTATACTAGGTGAAGAAAAGAAAATGTGAAAATTATAAATGAAATGCAACATTTACAAATGACATTTAAGTACCCACACCAGTCTTGCCAAGTACTTCTGACAGCTGTTGTGTTGGTGGCCAGTGAATGAATACAAACAAACATACATATGAAAACAGAATTGCATGTAGAACAACAAAAGCACAGCATGAAATGAGTAAGAAAATATGCCTCTTATACACAGTGTTTAAGTCAACATTGGAAACAACGACAAAGTTATTCTTCATGTGTTTGCATATTACTCATATTCTTGGTGTAGACTTTGAAGAATATTTTAATTTGCTGAAGAAAAAATGCAACAAAAACATATTGCACACCCTTTCCAAAAGCTAGTTTGTATATAAATAGACTATAAATTGGTTTTAATGGAGCAAAAAGCTAAACATTCCATTAGCATCCACTTTCTTGATCAACAAAGATTCATTTTCTGTGCATACTTCCACACTCACTAAAATAAAAGCTTGTCATTGTTTAAATTCAATAAATAAATCTCACAAAGGCACTCTTCTTTAAAAGCTTCTACTTTCCTTGAACAATAGAATTGTTACTGTTCTACGGACTATTATGTACACAAATTACACACAAATTCCATTGCTATCATGAAATACAAACATGAAGTGGCTAGGACTAGAGCCATTAGGCATATAGTGCTAGTCACCTGATTTCTTTCTACTGATTCTGCAATCTCAAATTTTCTGTTAAGCTCCCCAAGCATCTTTGCTAACTCTTGTACTTTTTAATAAGGCCTAGTTTCCAAACTGAATTTTTTTGATGTTACGTTATTTTAGTCTATTGCTCTCTAGATTTATTAAAAAAACCTCACGAAATCTAGAAGTAGATTAAGTCAAAAGAGAACTCAGTTATATAACAGCATTGTGGTCTACATTTCTTACAATAGTAAAGCTGAGACAAGATGGGAGAGGTAATATCTTTTATTGGACAAAACTTGTCTCTCTCACCAACTGAAGATGGTCCAATAAAAGATATCACCTCACCCACCTTGTCTCTCATATCCTGGGACCAACACAACTACAACAACACTGCATTCAACAAAGGTAAAGCTGAGCATTCATATTTTAATGGGGATGTACTTTATTTATCCCCACTATCCCTTCCTCACCTCATTCTATGATATTAAAGTTGGAATCTTTAAAATCCCCACACATTTTAATTCCTTTGTTAATAGTAAGCACACACTTCTAAAAAGGACTATTTTTTTCTTTAAAAAGGAAGAAAACCTATCCATACACACACAAATACAAACATTCAGACTTATTTAACACACAAAAACAGATTAAGAAATTCAGAGTAAAATCTACATCTGACCTTTGACAGTACAGTGCTTTCTTTTAATCTTAAAAATATCTGATAACACTGTATGAAGTTTCACATGGCATAATGGTTCCTTTTATTTCACTTTCTCCTTTAAAAGCCTTGTGTTTTGTTTTTAGAGAATTTAGTACTTACGAAAGCTGCCAAACTGAGCATCTAGTAGACCATGATCCCATTTATCCATAAAACACCACCCACAGCACAGGTAAAAGCAGTGCAATCTTCCCTGCTGCCACACCAAAATCCTTAAAAGAGCTGGAAAACTAGTTATACGTATGAGGAGTTATTTCAGTTCCCATGCCCATTCATTCTTTGGTTTCTCTGTCTTTAATTATCTGCCAATTAGTGCCAATTATGGTGGTGATTTAGTGACATGGACAGGCACCTGATACAACCAACTCATTTCATACAGGACACTTAACATCCATCAGACAGTAACAGCTTTTGGTCATTACCAACCTTGACTAGACTGGAAGTAGTAACATATAAAGGAAAGAAGCTTAAAACATCTATCTCAAAAACCCTGGGCCCATCTAATTAGTTCCAGGCTCCTTCACACACAAAAATGGAAAAGACATGTTTAAAGTTGAAGCTAAAAAAGCACTTAGAAATAGGTGAACTTTTTTTTTTTTTTTTTTTTGGCACCACTATTCATTCCAAATAAATAAGTGAAGAACTAAGAAGGGGAGGAAATGCTTTTAAGACCTCATGTGTTAAAATTCCAATCTGCAGCAAGTTTACAAACTTCAAAATATCTACATTACATTAGTGGACTGTAAGATCAATTTCAAAAGTTGACATTGAAAAGTGTTTTACATTTAATCCTCCTTAAGTCCTCTGACAATGCTTTATGTTATTTTATACTTACGGTTGAAATGGTATAAAGTGTTGTTTGTCCTCATCATCAACTTTCCCATTAATTATGTCAGTTACATCCATTACTGAAATAAAAACAAAAGCTACTGCTTTAATTTGTCAACAAATGGGGGGGGGGGAGAAGGGGAACAAACAAACAATGTACTATAATCCCTTCATCTCTAATAAAAGAAATTAACAATGGCATAAAACCAGTATAGTTCTATAGCAGAATAGTTTCATGTTTCAAATACAGATTCAATTTTCACATCAGTGAAATAAATGGTATCCTCTGAAGCTACTAGTAGATGTGGATACAAGCTTTTGTTTGTCGCATGTACCATCATGTGACATTACTTTAAACTTCTGCTTACAAGAACAACCGAGAAGCTTATTGTTGCATGTGCCTCCAGGGATCTAAATCTCAATACAAATCACCACTTTATTAACCTAGGGCTTGGCCTGATGAAGAAAACTATTACTGACGTTATTTCTTCATTTGAGAAAGAGAGAGCGAGAGAAAGAATATATTAGTCTTCAAATCTATATTTAATTTTCAATAGCCATGAGATGTGGCATAGTCAGGTGCAAGGTAGGAAAGTTCATACACTGTCTTTGAAATAATCCGCCTCTGGATCCTTCTATGATAGTGTTCAGATAATATTTTGTGAATATATAGAAACAAATCATGTCACTGCTTTATAAATGATATCTGGAGAGAATAACATTAGGTTGGCTAGTAACACTGCCATATGCTCCTTGAACAGTACTATAAAATGAAAGATAGTAGCCCACCAAAGTTCTTCTTTGTTGTGTCAAACAAAAGTTACATGGCCTTTATATCAATATATTGTTTGATTTATATAAGAACTAGGAGACCATTGGCATAATACTGGTGAACAGCGCCATTCAGACACAACCAGCCATGAAATTCCACCCTTGAAAAGAACACGAACACACAGAGCAGTCATTGTCTTCAGATTCTATGTGCATTATTACCATTACTCTCTGCTGGGAAGTTTATACCTGCTCAATCTTTTGCGATTATGTTGCTCTGTAGTGACTGGACCACAAAAGGGATACTTTAATTTGAAGGGGGGGAAATTCCATATTAGTCTAAATGAACATGAGGAAATATTGTATGTCTGAACATTTTTCTTAATTTGCTGTAAACTTCTGTACTGTATTTAAGAGTACAACAAGGCAAGGTAGAGCTTATTTGAATTTCAACATATGAATTTCAAGATATGATTACCTCAGCATTTGAAGAATTCCCTTTACTATAGGGAATAGGTAGGGAATAATAAGGAACTTTTGGGGCTCATCTATACAGGAAAGAGGACACCACTAGCTACTCTGGATTAACTGCCCACGTGGACACACTTTCTGTGGACTAAGCTAAACAGCCCAAGGGCCCTCTTAAGACACGCCCACGGTGCCTTAAGCTATTGCACACAAAGGCACTCGTAGTGCACAGAAAAAATGTCCACACAGGGAGTTGGCACAGAGTAGCCAGTGTGCTTTAAATTCACACCGGAGCTTATTGCACACTAACTTCCCCATGTAGACAAGCCCTTAGTTATCAAAAGCCACGAGAATTTTTTTTTTTTTTTTTTTAAAGATGACCTCCCAGGCGCATGTTTTAATGTCAATAAGAGCCCATTAAAGAAAAAACCTAAATTAATCAATGCTTAAATCTTCTCACTGTGTATGCCATGTGAGCTAGAAGCCTACTTACTACTTATATTTTGTAAAATATGTCGTTCTTGCACAACTGTGTGTGTTAATAAAAAGAATACCTTCCTTTTGCTTGTGTTTTTATTAAGGGCAAAGTAATTTGTTTCTGAAAGTAACTACAAAGGGTCACAGAAACAGGACATATGATCAGTTCATGTAACTATGCAGTGAACAATTAAGTTATTTGTGTTTTCCACTTTATCTGAGCAATTTTATCATGTGATTTCTTTGACCTTCCATCTCTCTGCACCTTATCCTTAATAATTCTGAGTATCTGCCTTTTGTTCATAACCAGCTAAATCACTTATTCCTGAGTGACTTCAAAACCTCTAGCCCAGTTGATGCTCTGCCGTTTCAAACATTTTAAAAGGTCGTATATTCCACAGGAAGAGAATTAATCTGATTTAAGCTATAGTGCACTTGTACATTTCCATTTAGGTTTTAAAATACCTGATGCTATACACAGAATCCTACAGAATCATAGAACTGTTGGGTTGAAAGGGACCTCAAGTCCAGCCCCCTGCACTGAGACAGGACCAAGTAAACCTAGACCATCCCTGGCAGGTGTGTGTCCAACATACTCTTAAAAACCTCCAATGATGGGGATTCCACACCCTCCCTTGGAAGCTTATTCCAGAACTTAACTACTCTTATAGTTAGAATTTTTTTTCTAATATCTAACCTAAATCTCTCTTGAAAGATTAAATTACTTGTTGTCCTACCTTCAGTAGACATTGGTAACAATTGATCACTGTCCTCTTTCTAATAGCTGTTAACATATTTAACTTATCAGGTATTCCTTCAAGTCTTCTTTTCTCAAGTCTAAACATGTCCAGCTTTTTAAACCCTTCCCTTAAAGGTTTAGAAAACCTGGCCTATAATCATTTTTGTAGCTCTCCTCTGGACTCTCCCATCTTGTCCACATCTCTCCTAAAGTGTGGCGCCCAGAACTGGACACAGTACTCCAGCGGAGGCCTCACCAGTGTCTTACATACAACACTCCTGTTTATACTGCCCAGAACAATATTTGCCTTTTTTCAAAAATGCATCACATTATTGATTCATATTCAATTTGTGATCCACCATACTCTCCAGATCCTTTCCCATAGTACTACCACCAAGCCAGTTATTTGCCATTTTGTAGTTGTGCATTTTATTTTTCCTTCCTAAGTGAAATTACATCAAGTGTAACATATGTATCTAAGATACACACAAAAGATTTAGTAGCTTGTTTTTGCCCCTTACCAAAAAGCTGACAAAGTGAATTCTGACTAAAAAACTAAGGAGAATAGATTACCTGCTACTCCAAAAGGTCGTCTTAGCCCAGAGGTTAGTTTTCTTGTGTTGTTGTCTCTTAGTTCCATTCTGCCAACTCTTACAATCTGACAGACAAAACTGATTTTCTCTCTTTTCAGGTCTTTGCTGCCAAGGTCCTAGAAATATTAATTTCCATACATTATAAGAATCCTATTCATTTCAGGTTCTACTTTAGTAGCCAGCAGAAAGACAAGTTGTTGTTCAGAATTGAGTCTTTTCATCTTTTAGCATTAGAATAAGTTATTCTCATGACAACAGAATTTTCATAACAATATTTAAGCCATTAATTTTACACAGAAGCCAAGGAGTCCAACTATTTTTGAACAGTTTAAATCTTTTCCACAATTGTCAGAGGTTCAACTTGGCCTTTACCCACATGAACCACAGTTGTCAGAAATTGCATTAGAGTAATTAACAAGGAGTGACTTATAAGTTTCTCCAGGACCTAAATTCTAGTCTGCAAAGGAAGTCTGCTACCTATTAACTCTTTAGCATTTTTCAAGATAGGAAACAAAGCGCTTTAAACACTGCAAAAACAAAAGCACACTTACAGTGAACACAGCTCGAAGATTATGTAACCTGTCTATGTCTTTAGGCAGCCCAGAACTTGACCATCGAACTAGATAGTTTTCACTGTAAGAACAAGGTTTTTAAAATATATATAGATATGTATTTAGATATATATGTATGAGTTCAGATGTTACAAAATTAGGTTAAGTTCACATTAAACAACCTATTTTTCAGCACTATAAGTGAGATTCTGCTCAGTGAAGAGATTATACTAAATAGCACCTTCTTACCCAATTGCTTGTTCCTTGTGTGTAAACATTGCCATTTCTGTCATTTTACTGACTAAATTATATTTTGGGTTTTCTTGTTATTTTGGTAGGGGGAGAAAGTTTTGGTGTTTTACACCTGTTAATACAGGAGTGACAGTGCAGCTCTGGGACAGTGAACTGGATTCTTATTCAGCTCATGAAACAGTAGGACAATTAACTGAGTTCTGTCATGCATGAGCCAAAAGTACCCAGCTTGACTTTCAGTTCTCAGTTTGAGTTTGCATGGCAGGCAGTTTGAAAAAAAACACAACCCAACCATCTGATTTCCAGATCTAATCTGTTGAGTGAGACACAAATATGGTACCACATAATTGCATTTTTAAAGTCACTTTTTAGAATAGAACCATACTTCAAAATCTAAACCAAAAATGTATCAACATTAACTTTAGATGCCTACAGAAGTAATTTTATAATTCATATAACCACATATGGATACTAATGATGAAGTTTTATGGGGGTCAAAAAGTAATATACTCTTTTGTCTCTTTAAACCTGATATCACAGGTGTGTTTCACTCCTATTACAATCACAGGAACATTTACTCAGTGGGCAGCTGCTATTGTGCTTTGTGCATGTAATATGAATAGAAGAGCAATTCTTCTTCAGCCTAGTAGAATGCAGCCCCTGTAAGGAAGCAGGGGATCCAGAACATTCAGTCTCTCTGATGACTGCCAAGGCAGCTGAACAGTGAATGAGCCAAGCCTTGTTCATGTGTCATTTACCTCTACACAGGTGGAACTAAAGACAATACAATAAGGAACACTACAAATTTCTAATGTACTGAAGCAAGGGAGACTAATCTGTTGCTGTGTTGAATAAAGCAGATGAAGTGCTGTATAATCCATGCTTCCCACTAACTTTCTGCTAAAGTTTACCCAGCAAACTGACCTTCCAAAAAGCCCTCTCCAATCTGCCGTGACTCGACCAAAATCCAGAGACACACAAGATAAACAGGTATACATAGTGCAACAGACAGACAACACTAACCTGATAAACTTTGATTCTAGTGGGTCGTACAGAGACATCAGGACTTCAGCATCTTCTCCTATTTTGCAGACTACATTTTTTAAATTTACAAATAAAGCAAACGAAGGCGTGGCGGCAAATTTGGCTTGTCTGTTAATATCAATGTTCTGCTTTTGAGACTGTAATTTAATAGAGACAAAACAGTCAAATTTAAACAGCACTAACGACTAGAATCACACCCTTAAATCATATCCTTAAATCTTACCCTTTCACTATGAAATGTTTACCTAAAACATTTACGGCAAAAGAAGAGTGTGTCCCCTCCCAGGGGAAAAAGCCCCAGCCCTTGCCATTTTCTATACTGGGAATAGGAAGAGTGCTGAGATTTCTGGCAGGCTGCTCTACTTGGACCCTCCTTGGAGCTCTGTTTTGGATTAGTTTCTAGCTACCAAAGGGGAACGGACAGAATGGAGCAAAGGATCGAGCTTCAAATTTGTCTGCTAGAACAGAAGAGCTTTCCTTCAGTCTCCACTCTTCTACTCTTTCCCTGGCATCCTACAGGCTACGAGGAAAGAAGGGGGAGAAGACAGGACCGCTATTCTGCCCTTCCCCAAGTTTTTATTTTTTAGCCTTTCTCCTCAATGGATGACTTTAGGGCCTGCCTCTGTTGTTGCTGCTGCTTCGAGCTTTCCCAAGAGAAACAAGAAGATGACTATAAACAGTACCACAACCTTGGTACTGAGGCCTTGTCCAGAGCCTTGTTAATTACACTCTGTTCCTGCTTGGCAAACCAGTGAGTAGCAGCAGAGACAATGAAACCATCTGCATAAAAGTTCAGGAAGAGCAGATTTCACTGTTCACATTTGTACAGGTCTTTGGGAGAGAGAATTTATTTTTTAAGCAAAGTTTAAATTCTGCAAAATTTTTGCTTTGCCTGCACATTTATCAGGGAACCTTTTTACTTGCCACAGATGATTCAACAAGTACATTTTTAAACTCAGCATACAGATCCCATATACAATCCTAATGAAAATATTAACTGATCTGAACCAGAGCACTGTATCCTAAATTAAGCCTCAAGAAAAACCACCATTAATATATACAATTTCATTAAATATGCATCTCCTCTCTCATGTCATCTTCGTAGTTCTCTCTCATAGTAATCCATCAATTATTTTATTGGTAGACTATTATATCAACATTTACACTTCTGAAGTATAGGAATCATTTTTTAAGAGGGGGTAAGTTATGCAGCCCATATAAGATAAGCTACACAATGTATTTTTGATACTTTTGATCTTGAGACTGCTTCATGGACTAAAACAGAAGACTAAGCCAAATTCCTGTTTTAATTATATTTTATCATTATTTTTTACATTAATTTACATGATTCTTAATTTTAAAAGATAGCAGTTGGGGATAGTGTATCTTACCTTTTCTTCTAGTAGTCTTTCCTCAACTTGCTTGGAAGCTATTTCATGAGCTCTAAAAAGGCTGATTGTGCTGGTTTGTTCTGGATCTAAAATGTTGCCATCTTCATCCCTTACAACCAGATCCAAATCAAGAATCCTATGTAAAAAGTTACAGATTACTTATCATTATGCATAAAAGGCCTGCAAGAATTGCAGAATGCTGAATATGTAATCACAGATACCTGATTTATACGAAGAGAAAAATCTCTTTTTCTGCTCTGTCTCATTTGACATTCTGGACAAACAAAGTGAGTAGTATCACATATAAATTGGTGGTCAAATAAATAAGTTCTAGCTTCTTTTTTAAAAATCTTCCTGGGCAGGCAGTTCCATGTTACTTCAGAAATCCACAAATCCATAGAAGCAAAAGCTATGAGACCCAGCAAAGGAGATACTAAGACCTTTATCTTTCCTTAAGGCAGAATCCAATTTTATGTCAGTAGGGTCCAAGTGTCAAGGGTTAGCCTCTTCAGAAAGATTTTTTATCCCCATACACACAGCCTATCTTTTGGGAGGATCATCTGTTTTCCACTGTGCCAGCTCCAGAACTTGTCATAAAACCAAGGGACGAAGAACATACCGTTTATATCCCTCCAAGTCTCTCTAACAATCTTGGCCAAGGCCTTGAGGAAGAGAAAAGGTTTTAATCTTCCAAATATCCTCAGGGAATTACTCTTTCCTGTTCTCTTGTGAATTCTTGTTGTGGCAGTCCTTTCGTCAGGAGTTTGCTAAAATCTAGAGTCCTAGAAATCCCAGTTGGGTGAATCCCAATCATCAGCACTGAAATGTCATACAAAGCCTGACTCTTCTGAGTAGAAAGTACATAGACAGGAGGTAGCAGTTTCTCCTTCCTCTCTTCTGCAGGGAAGAGACTGAACCATTTGTAGCTGGGTGCGGAAGCTGGAGGAGCCACGCATAAGGTTAGAGGAGAAGTCTCATGAGCATATGGAGCCATGGAGTCCTTGACAGTGTGACACACCAAGGACAGGATCCTAGGGTAAATCCCCTCTAGATAACGTTCCAGATTACCTGAAATAAAACACTACCACCTGAGGACCTTAAATTAAGGGCCTGAGAGTATCATTCCCATGAAAAGAGGAAACGCAGGACTGTTGAGAAGTTGAGCATCCTCCAGTCTCACTGCAAGAAACTCTTCAATGACTTGCCTTGAGTTGAAGTAGGAAGGAAGTGCTAAGTGCTGTGGTGTTCCAGGATCTTTGTACAGAACGATCATCTAAAACTGTGCACTGTCCCTAGGTTAGGAGAAAGGATTGGAGTGCTAAAGTTTATAGGGCTGCTGCTCAGAAAAGCTGGGGCAGAGGACGTGATGATTTGGGAATCTGTCTGTAGAATTTATGAACAGAGTGAGATTACAAACTCTGTGTCTTTACCAGGCTGCAAACTCAATTTTGAATGTGCAACCTTTTGCCTTCTCTGCTGTTTGTTTGCCTCCATGTAGGGCCAAAATTCCAAAGATTTGGGGCAAAAGAACAACAAAAGAGTTGTCGAAGTTATGTACTCTTCCAGTGAAGGAGAACAGCTCTTTACAAAAGACGGGCTCTCAACCATAAGAACAGGTTTAGCAGGGGATTAGGGTGACCAGACAGTAAATATGAAAAATCAGGACATGGGGTGGGAGGTGTAATAGGAGCCTATATAAGAAAAAGACCCAAAAATCGGGACTGTTCCTATAAAATTGGGACATCTGGTCACCCTACAGGCTTTCTGGTCAACTGGGGAGACGGAGCTGGATGTCACCTGACAGAAGGGGCTGAAAGTTATCAATAGTGAAGAGCTGATGGGTCAGGGTCTTTTGTCTCCAGCTGTGTCTCCAGCAATTTAGCATTTAGAGGCTGCATAAAGCAGGAAGCCCTCCCTTCTTTCCTGAGCCCAGAAGGGTTCCCAACGGAAGGAGAGGTTACTTACCCGTACAGTAACTGCAGTTCTTTGAGATGTTTTAGCCCTGTGGGTGCTGCACTTCAGATGTGTGCAAACCCTCAGGCTTTTGACCTGAGATTTTTGGTAGTAGCGTCTGCAAGATCTGCATCTGCGCCCTATACATCCTTGTGTTCCGATTCAAGGGAGGGTGGACCCATCGCCGCTCTGGTATCTTCTCAACTAGGCAATCCAGCCAAGGCAAGGACTGCAAAGTAGAGGGGAAGGAGTGCAGGTAGTGCCGCATTAATAGAAACAGAACATCTCAAAGAACTGTAGTTACTGTACAGGTAAGTAATCTCTCCTTGTTTGAATAATTGTCTCTATGGGTCCTTCACGGTAGATGAGTTCCGAGCAGCGTCCAAACTTCTGGGGGTGGGTGCCAGGATGACCGATCTAGTAGAGATCAAAGAACAGCTGCATCAAAGACTACATCTGTCCTTGAAGCATGCACAATAGCACAGTGCTGGGGGAAAGTTTGTGCAGATGACAAAAAGAGCAAATGTGTTAGACCTGTACCTCTCCTGTATGTAAAATGCTTTACAACTACTGCATGCCATCGGAGAGAATTCCACCGCAAACCAGAAAGTTCGCACGTTTGGGGTGGAGTTCTGGGAGAAGATGTGCTTAAGTACGAGGGAATCTGAAGGGTCAGCACTGAGCCTAGAGGGGCTAGGCAGCTGGACAGCAGTTTCCAGCTCTCAAGATGAGGTGCGGACAGGAGGTGTGCACCCAGAGCGTGTGCCAAGGGACCCAGAGATTAGAGGGGTGGCTGGATTCCGTTCAGGCTTGAGAGGCTTAAGCCATCCAGGGACACAGAGGCTTGGATTCCCTCCAAGTTTGGAGGGTAGCCAGCAAGAGGATGCCCAACTGGATCTGTGACAGTGGGATCTTTGAAATACTGTTTGCCCTGGAGTGGAACATGAGTGCTAAAGACAGTGGGGTTGCCAGAGGACAGTTCAGGAAATCTTGCAATATGCATTGACTGGCTTCAGCTCCTAAGGAGGGCTAGACTCTCCGGTTGAAGCCTGAGATAAAGAGCAGGCACAGCATCCTCATCTGCCACTGCTGCCACAGGTGTGGACATGAGACCCTCTTCTGCCTGCCGTGAGAGAGCAGAGACACTCTTAGCCTAGGTTTGGAAGCAGAATGAGAGGATTTACAACAACTATGGCCTGTCACTGGAAATATTTGGCACATCGATTCAGGCAGTTGTCTGCTCTGTGAGGAGCCAAATGCTTCTGCCCGGAGCTCACGAAAGCACAGGAGCCATCCTGTATCTAGAAGAGTGTAGCCGGGTGGGGGGGTCGGGAGGGTGGGGAAATAATCTAATACTCAGTGACTGATCATTCCGCCTTGCAACTATGAACAACAGAGTGGAAACCCGCTGGCGCAGATTGTCAAATGAACAGGAGCAAAAACTACTTTGACTTTATCTTTTCATTTCTCTTTAACTTACAGGTAGGGTGACAACCAGCAAATGTGAAAAATCAGGATGGGGGTGGGGGGTAATAAGAGCCTATATAAGAAACAGACCCAAATATCAGGACATCTGGTCACCCTACTTACAGGTGACATTTGTGAAAACATGTCAATGACTAAGGAGTTGTTCCCAAGTGTTTCATTTTGTTTACAATCAGCTTTTCAACCCCAAAAAGAAACCTGTCAGCTATACACAATAAACTGATCCAGTCTCATAATCTCATATCTACCCATTTAAAAAACAAAAGTCCATAAATCCACAATGATAAAGTTTTTGATTTTCACAACACAATAAAATTAATATCCTGCCTTTATTTATATAAAAGCCCATTCATATAATTACTTTCAGGAAACAATGGAAAACGTAAGCACATACATGAAATCCAGAGAGTATATATTTAATGCATAATAAATATTTCTTATATCTGGATATTAGAAATTGTCATTTTATTTCATTTTACGCAAAACATGATATATGGCTACACTAAAAAGATACTGCACCCTTTTAAATATGCATATTTACTCAAAAGTTCAAATTCAATTCTCTCCCATACTCTACAGGGAATGTTTTGATCACTTAATTAGTCCATCAGAACATTATGAATAAAAGACACAGTACAAGATGTTCTATTGAGTTGAACACTGAGCATCTGGACGTTATTCAGAGTAACTTTAACCAACTCCTTAACCAGATGGTAAAATACAGTAGCCAAACAAATAATATCAACAACATCTGGTTAACTGTCTACTGGGGTACAACAGACCGCATCTTGGATTATAAATGTTAAATTACTTACTGAATGGAGTTAGTGATTTTATCACCACTATTTTTGCTGAAAAAGTACGAGCACAAGAACTGAAGAACCTGCAGTATTTAAGTAGCAAAGCACAAATAGCTAATTCTCATGAGCTAATCATACTACAGTGGCACTTAAAGACAGTTTGGATGATCAATCTTCCATCCCCAGGAGTTCAATAACCTTATATTACCCCACCTTCTCATTATTGAGAATGCTACTTTGACCAGATTCCAATTTTGTGTATAAGCAAGGAAAGATACCTCGCTTTCAATTAAAAAATAATGTCACAACTGAATAGTATGACATTCCTCCTTACCGTGGGATGATTTAATCTACAGCTAACCAGTTCAATTTTCAAACACAACATTCCCTCCATCCAAATAGTTTTCAGGAGGCTTAGCCTTAAATCAAAAGTCACCTCATCTAAGTTGCTGACATATCTGATGCATGTCCCATTGTAACATCTGTCATTAATTAGGTGCCATTTCTGGTTTTTATCCTCATCTTCTGGATGAATATAAATGCTTATGAAATCTAATCAACTTTTAACAGTATAACCATTAATACAAGCTAGATACTACACAAGCAGCAGCACAATGAGATACCCCACATTTCCCAGACAAATCCTCTAGCACTGCATGACAGCATTAACAAGTTCAGAGTGCAAACAGCTGGTGATACTAGAGAGGCAGCAACAGTTTATGTGGAATTGTCAAAGGGTTTTCAAAGACAGGAACATTTTTATCTTTCAGCTGACCTCAGAAAAATCATAGTTTTAATCTGACATCAAATTGATGGTGTCACAAAGTTTATGAGTGACAGCTTAACAGAAAGATTCTAGTACACAAATTATAATTTGTACTGTATCAAAATGCTTTTATATTGCAATTTTTCCCACTTTGCCATACTCTAAAAAGATTGCTACTTAAAATACAAGTACTACTCCTTACAGAACTACTTTCTTCATATATATGCGGTGCCTTTGAACTGCTGTATAATACGACAAGGCTGATTCCCCCCACTCCCTCAAGAAGCGCACACTATGAAGTAGTCATCACAAACCTGTTTCCATAATCTATTTTGGCAGTCACTTTCTTTTTCAGTTCCTTGAGCTCATCTTGGGGTAGAGTTCCAGAAAGTATCTGTGATCTCCATTCAATAAGATCATATATCATGTGTCGTACACTGTGGAACATGTCTCTGTTATCTTGCTGTTTGAAAATAAAATAGTTAAACAAGACTGTCAATGTTATTTTAAAAAGGTAAATAACAGAGCACATTTTAGAGTTTTTATATGACAAATTAAAAACATGGGCCATGAGATTCAAAACTAGGTGTCTAAAGCTATGCTCCAAAATTAGAGGCCTGGTTTCCAATAGTGCTGAGCATGGTGCTTTCCCCTCAATGGGAATTGTTGGGTTCCCAGCACTTTTGAAAGTCTTGCCTCTTATTTAGGTGCCTAAATACTGATTTAGGAGACTAAGTTCTTTTAAAACATTGACTATGATTTATTCAATACAGTGAATCGTTTAGGATTAAGGCATCTTATTTGTTTATATGGTTATTTGTTTATAAACATCTTTTTTGTTTATATGGTTATATACACAGAATTCAAAAGGACAGACAGACAGCAGGGACATTAGAGGAATAATATAGGAAAAAACACTTTGGTTTTAAAGACTAATATAATACTGTATAATTTGCTGGGGTGGGGACAATGGACTTGTTCTGCCATTAAAAGAAGAGGTGTTTCCGGATTTATGATGATATTGAATACCTGTTTACAGCGCTCTGGGATCGCAAGAAATCAGATCTTAAACCTGTCTAGCTCAGAACTGATATAGGCTCTCCAGCACCTCAGAGCAGTATAATATTTTTAGGGAGGGGAAAATAAGGTAGAAAGCAGGGGACAGGGAGATGAAATTCCATATTTGAGAGGGAAGAAGTAATTTCTCTGATAATATTTATATAAATACACACAGGATTAAACTTTAGCGACCACGAAACAGGGCCACCTCTGGAGTGAGATGCAGTGGTTGCTTAACAGTGCACAGCAATGCTACACAACAGTTTAGGCAGCAAGTGAATGTTATATCTAGGGCCCTACCAAATTCACAGTCCATTTCACTCAATTTCACTGTCACAGGATTTTTAAAAATCGTAAATTTCATGATTTCACCTATTTAAATCTGAAATTTCACAGTGTTGTAATTGTAGGGGTCCTGACCCAAAAAGGAACTGTGGGAGGGAAGGGATCGCAGGGTTTTTCTAGGGGATGTTGCAGTACTGTTACCCTTACTTCTGCGCTGCTGCTGGTGGCAGCACTGCCTTCAGTGCTGGGCAGCTGGAGAGCGGCAGTTGCTGGCCGGGAGCCCAGCTCTGAAGGCAGAGCCGCCGCCAGCAGCAGCGCAGAAGTAAGGGTGGCATGGTATGGTATTGCCACCCTTACTTCTGCGCTGCTGCTGGCAGGGTGCTGTCTTCATAGCTGGGTGCCCAGCCAACAGCCGCTGCTCTCCGGGCACCCAGATCTGAAGGCAGCACAAAAGTACGGGTGGCAATACCATGACACCTCCCCCCCTAAAATAACCTTGCAACCCCCCTGCAACTCCTTTTGGGTCAGGACCCCCAATTTGAGAAATGCTGGTATCCCCTATGAAATCTGTAGAGTAAAAGCACACAAAAGACCAGATTTATGGGGGTGAGACGAGATTTCACAGTCCGTGACACATTTTTCATGGCCACGAATTTGGTAGGGCCCTAATTATATCCAGGTGAGAAACTACAGTAGCTATTAAGCAGACAGATTACTAACCACAGTTGCCATTTGGCAGCAAACCAGGGTTAACCTCCTATTCTTAAAAAAGAGACTATGATATATTTAAAAAGATGAGAAGTAGTCAGAACTAGGGTTGCCACCTGCCCAGGTTTTTCCAGAATTGTCCCTTTTTTGACGCAGCTGTCCTGGGAAATCAGTAAGGGTGTTCAGTACACACTGCCAGCTGGCCAATTTTAGTGTTTTGGGCTCAGGCTCATTCTGGATGTCCTGTTTTTTTTATACCTCAGGGGGTGACAACCCTAGTCAGAACCTCAGTTATATATGATCAGAAAGTCAACACTTCCAACATCATAATGTCATGCAGTACATGCTAGGCCACCGGTTGAGTACTGATCCAAAAGGGAATTGCCAGCATCTTCCTGCAGTCGAGATATTTCACTGAGGTCTCCCATGCAGGTCATGATCAGGCTCAATGCTATTTATCAGTCCCACAAGGACCAGCAGGGATAACTAAGCGCTCAAACTTAAGCTACAGTTCTAGGGTCCACATTTTAAAAAGAATGTTGAAAAGTTGTTAGTGTAGAAAAGAAAAAAAATGATCTGAGGGCTGGAGGAAATGAGACACTGCAAGAGCTCAATCTGTTTAGCTTATCAAAAAGATGACTTAATTGCAGTGTATAAATACCTTCACGGTGAGAAACTACCAGGTACCAAAGGGCTCTTTAATCTAGTGGAGAAAGGCATAACAAAAACCAAAGGCTAGAAGTCAAAGCCAGACAAATTAAAATTAGAATGAATCACAATTTTTCTAAACAGTGGGAGTGATTACAAGCTACCAAGAATAGTAGTAGCTTCTCCATCCCTTAATGTCTTTGGATCAAGACTGGATGCCTTTCTGGAAGGTATACTTTAATCAAGTACATTTGAGAACCGCTGGATTAGGCTCCCCTTCTTTGTGTCTGTAGTCATTTATGCCCTCCCCTCAACAACACCCCCAAGTACATCTACTGCCACCCAGCTCTGAAGGCAGAGTGGAGAGCAGCGGTTGCTGGCTGGGTGCCCAGCTCTGAAGGCACCATCACACCAGCAGCAGCACAGAAGTAAGAGTGGGAATGTGAATATCACTTTGTCAATATCACTTTTCACAGCAGACTTAGCACCCCATTACCACCCTTACCTCTGCATTGCTTCTGCCACCCGGGGGGCTGACAGCCAGAGCTCTGCCGCCTCCAGGTGAGGAATTTGCGGGGGGAGGGGGAGGGGAGAGGAGGAGAGACCAAGCGGCAGGGCTCCAGCTGTCTCCTTTATCCCCACCTCCCGGGTATGCATGGCCCTTCTGCATGAGCCCCAGCCACACAGGGCTGACAGACAGAGCTCTTCCAAAAAACCCAAACACACACACACAAAACCGCGCACACAGCTCACACCTCCTTTGACACATTCCTGTGCTTTCCTTGGGAGGCCCGCCCCATAATTTGAGAACCACTAACTTTAGTCAAACAAGTTACTGGGGTCAATAAAGGCATAACTGGATGAAATGTAATGGTCTGTGTAATAGAGAAGGTCAGACTAGATCAGCGGTTCTCAAAACTGTGGATCGGGACCCCAAAGTGGGGTCGCCAGGGCTGGCTTAGATTTGCTGGGGCCCAGGGTCGAAGCCAAAACCAGAGGGCTTCAGTTCTGGGTAGTGGGGCTCAGGTTACAGGCCTGGGGGCCTTGGGCTTTGGTCCCACCCAGGGTAGGGGGGCTTGGGCTTTGGCTTTGTGTGTCCCCAGGCAGGGGGGCTCGGCCAGGCTCAGGCTTCGGTCCCTCCTCCTGGGATCGTGCAGTAATTTTTGTCGTCAGAAGAGGGTCACGCTGCAATGAAGTTTGAGAACCTCTGGACTAGATGATCTCATGGTTCTATCTGGTATTAAACTCTATAAATCTACCACCTTTTCATTCTACCTAGCTCCCCTTCGGGAAGGCCACCCACGGTTCTTTTCAGAGATTAATCAAATTTTGTTATGTAATGCAAGCATTATCTGTAAGACATGGACTACAAATGAATGGATCAGAATGTAGCATTTGACTCAATTTATCTATTCTCTTTATAACCACAACAATGACTGTTGCATGTAGTTTCAATGAATTCCTGCCAAAGACAGCAGCATACATTCCCTGTTCAATAAGAAGTTCTGAATTTAAGCAGCATGCAATATGATCAGATACTTGCTTCTATAGAGAGGTTGTTCATATGTAAGAGATGCTGTATATTTAATATCAGAATTAGTACTTCACATTTTAGGCACCCTTCTTCAATGGTTTAATTGGTATAAGAGAAGTATATGTGGGTAGGAAGGAGTTTCTGACCAACTTCCCCCTCCCATGCCCCCCACTTCGCAACCACCTATGCTAAGTTTTGTGCAGCTCCATGTGCGTCAAAGTTGAGAAAGAATCACCGATTTCCCTCTCTGAATGCTCCCAAGCAATGGAAGCAGGGGGTTGGGCAGGACTCTGATCCCTACATAATTTAGAAGTATGGGAGGACATAGGGAAGCCACTGGGATCAGAGTATGGAATGAGCTGTTTTAGGGGTTCAAGGAGAGAGTCTGGAAAGTTTCTGGGGTGTGAAGGGCCTGTACGGGACATAGGGTCATTTCTCATTCTGTTCTTCCTAGTTATTTTTCCCAATTCTGCCCCTTTCATATTTTGTCCCTTCCAGATCCTGTCCCACACATCCTTTTCTTGCACTAGAAAAGCATTACTGCTCTAGTATTATGTCAAATTTCTACTTTATATTCACTTGCATCTGATATTCTCAATCCCTCTCTCTAGCCTCAACTGCATCATATTACATCTCATTCTCTGATTCACTTCCAACATAATTCATTTTTGTCTCTCCTTCCCTCTCCTTTGTGGGCCTCATCCAAAGCCCATAGAAGTCCATCAGAACATTTCCATTAACTGCAGTGGATTTTGCATCATTCGCCTCACCCTGTAACATTCGAAGTTTCTAGCTTCTTTTAAGTGTCCCTTTATGTGAAACATGCTCATTACCACACTCGAGTAGTAATTTATTTCCTTGTTATCTTCACTTTTCCCAAGTTATGTTCTCAAAATCTTATTTTTGCAGGATATTCACTTTACTTTTGCCATAAAAACAGAATTAACATAACATACATTTCATACAGCTGTTCGTGACATCTAGAAATTTTGCAACAAATAGCAAAGAACATACTTTGAAGTGGAAATTTCCCATTTTCTTTAAAGAAGATGGGTTTGCTAATCTTCCATTTGTAGTGACCTTAAACTAAGACCACTGGGATGCTGCATCTCCTCTAATGTGGTATTAGACTACAATAATACTGTTTACATTTCAGCCAGATTTTTTTTAAATCACTATATTTAAACACAAGCTGACTATCTGAAACTGCCCAGATCATCACAAAATATTCATAGCTAACTCCAAGCTTGTAGTTTTTCAGTTAATCTGACAGACGATTAATGCTTATTGCTGTACATTTGTAAGATGCTACTGTGTAATCAAAAACAAGCATGCATAGAACACAGCTGTTGAATTTTAAGAAGTTTTGTACGTGTCAGACAGAGATATTAACATATTGGTTTAATTAATGAGTACTAACTTTTCACTTAGAATTTATGCATATGAAAATAATCAAGACTGAGAATTTAAAATTTGTGCTAACCAAACAAACCAATTTAATTTGTCCATTAGTATTTTATATGCCAAAAAGGCTTCTATTGATGCATTTTAAGGATATTTTAACCCCCACAAAAGTTAATCTCAGTTTTCTGAATTTGTCATAACAACCTTGAATCTCTCTCCCTTAAAGATAAATATTACAATAGGGATCTTTCATTACCTGATCACACAAGTATGTAACAAACGGCTAGATCCTATACCACTTTATAGTTCTATAGTCCCTTCAGTGTGAAGACTGCAAATAACTTAACAATGATTTAGCCTTGAAACATCCATTATGAGATATCTAACTATGGTACCTATAAAATAATAGAAAACAGCACAGTTCCTTTCCATTATTCCAGTGTCATAGTAACACTTTCCAGGATGAGGTAGCTATTGTGTTAAGTTTCAAAATATGTCGTATTATATTACCCCCAGTATTGCAAAGCTATCTGAGCCAAAACTGGAACCCTGAATCCAAACCATTTTTAAATTTAGGGAAAAGAGACTTCAAATTTGAATCCCTAATTCTAAATCTGTCCCTATTTTACAGGGTCCGAGTCAGATTCCAACCCAGAATGGAGACTATTTTCTGATTCCTTTTTGGACATAGCTGAAATTTCATTTGAAGTCTCATGAGATGAAGTTTGGAGAGTTTGGTATGATCAACCCCTAGCCCTGATTCATCTGCAAACTTTAAATAAGAGCCTAAGCTGGATAAAGATCTAGCTAGTAAACACTACTCATCTGTACTGTATATTATAATAAATAATACTAATAATATTACATGAGTTGATATTAATTGGCACAGAATATCAATGAAAAGTTTGATAGGCCCAAAAATTTCTCCGACTTAAAAAAAAAAAAAAAAATCTGATATGGTCTAAAAAAAAAATCTACAACACAGATAAAAAGCCAGCCCTCCAGGGTGACCTGCTCATATCACTACCTCTTGGTGCAGTGACTGAAATCACAGGCAGGCATATTACTAAATCATGTTGCATCATTTCTCAGCTCTTACTGCATGCCGTGGTCTCATAAGAACACAAGATACACCTCTACCCTGATATAATGCGACCCGATATAACCTGAATTCGGATATAACGCGGTAAAGCACACTCCGGCGGATCAAAGCAAGTTCGATATAACGCAGTTTCACCTATAATGCAGTAAGATTTTTTGGCTCCCGAGGACAGCGTTATATCGGGGTAGAGGTGTACTGCTATACCAAGACCTGCTCTCCAAGTCCCTGATCCTGCATATCATATCCATAGTTTTCAGAGCATGGCACAGTATGGAGAGGTATGTCAAACACCTGAATCTCCAGGTTGCCTTGTCACAGAAGCCCCAAAATAGCTTTGTAAAATGAGTTTCAGAGCTACTTTGGGAGAGTAAGAGTAAGGAAAGAGTGACCTTGGTTAAATAGACTCTGTGTACCTTACATTCTACTATTCCTAATTTTTTAAATATCTGTCTTTTCTCCTCCTTTCCATCCAAGTCATAAAGCCCAGAATACTGTAAATATAGGGGGGGAAAACAGCGTATTTTACTTACCACATATAGCTGCCGCCATATTATGGACCACTCTCGTAGTGTTGTGGTAACTTCCTGAATCAGTGGGAGCTCACTGGGTATGACTGTTTCATGCTGTCTAAAGTTTGCAAAAACAATTTTTGGTAGAATAGTAAAATGATTAATATAGTCCAATTTGTAGACACGAGTGGTTATTGCTAAGTTTCAAATCCAATTCCATGACAACAGGATTCAAAAGAAAAAACAAACATATTACAAGTTATACAGTATATCACTATATGCCATTCTCGACTCTGCCACTGGCCTGCTGTGTGACCTTGCACAAATCTCACTTCACTTCTGTCCATCAGTTTCCCCATCTATAAAATGGGGATAACAATATTGATCTACTGATGAAAAGCACTATATGAGAGTTAAGTATTATTTCCACAAATTTTAACATTCCACATGTATCACACTATTTACTTCTTTTGTAATGTACTAATGTACTAATTTTGTAGGAACCGATTGGGGGAAAGCCAGTTATGTGGCATGTATGAGACCATGCCATTATGATTGATCCTTTAGCAAAATACTGTTTTTACACTGGAAAAACCTGTGTTGTAGGTGTTCACCATTGGTGTGTCTAGATGACTATTTTAAAATAGTCCATCATCTGAGTATGGAACGACAGCTAGCTCTTTTAGCATGTCAAAAGTGCAGCACTTAGTGGTAGTTTTCTAATCAGCCAGGAAGATGCCATTATGCAGTAATCATATGATTAGTAGTTTTATCATTTACATATTTAAGAGGGTTAAAAAAAGATCAGGCAAAAAGGAGGAAATATTTTAATTCTTTGCACTAAAGTTCATATCTGGCTAGTCATTTGTCAATTCCACTCAATATTACTTTTGTTTCACAAATATCTTTTTTAAATGATCTTCTATAACGGTATTATGACCTTTAATACACATGTATAGTAACTTGGTAACAAAGTTCAAATTCATACATATCAAGGTAGCACTGTTTCCATTAGTATAAATTGCTTTTATATAATAGCTCAAAACGTCTGTGGGCAAGTGAACTCAGGACAGTGGAATGTACACAACACCACAAAACTTGGCACTGGGATTCACCGATGGAGATGATAATCTTTTGTAGAAATGCTTCTCAGCAAGGCAACAAACGACAGATACCTTACCATGAGGAGCTAAGTTTACTTAGCTTATTCAAGAAAAGGTCAATAACTGACTTGAACATCATCTACAAGTTCCTACATAATGAGAATGTATCTGCTCTTAGAGTCATCCTTACCCTACTAGAGCAAAGCATAAGATCCAATGGCAGGAAATTGAAGTCAGAAACAATGAAACTAAAAATGCAACTCAACTGCTCAATAGTCAGGGTAATTATTAACCATGGGAGTAGATTATCAAGGAATGCAATAAACTCCCCATCATTTGGAGTATTTAAATCAAGACTAAAAGTTATCATGCTCAATGCAGTAATCAGTGGATGAAATTCTATAGCTTGTGGTACACAGGAGGTCAGACATTTGCTCCTAATGGTTCCCTTCTCGCTTTTAGATCTGTGAATCAATTTTGAAGTGTTCAGCACATCCTTTCATTAGCCAATAGGAAATGAGGTATTAGCCTATCTCATAAAAGCACAGAAATTATATTTCCACAAATAGGAAATTTTATTCTTGTTAAACTTCAAGTCTCAACTCACCCTTTTCCTTCAACTATTGCTTCTTTAAGCTGAATATAGGAAGCAGGAAATATGCCCTTTGGGGGGGAAAAAGAGTTTGGTTACTTTATATATATATATATATATAAACTGACATACATACATTCGGACTAATTATTATCTAACAAATAGCTACACTGTTCTGCACAGAATTTTTCATATTCTGTTCAATAGCATTAAATAGGCTATTTTATGAATGTCTCAGATCTGAATTTGATTTTGTATGTGTATTTTAAAACCGTTATGTCCCTAACTTTATATATTATCTTTATAAAACTGCACTATACAGCAGAGGTAGCTCCTTAGTTAAAGTACAGTGGCCTGTAAGGAGATGCACTTCCCCCTCTGCTCATGCATCTACTGCCTCAGGTTCCCCAACTCAGTTCCCAGAAGAAGGCACATAGACTTATGGGCTAAATCACATCCCCTCTCTAGGTCTGGTTCATTAACAAAAACAGTTCAACTCAATTCAACACAAATCTTCCCTCACAGACTTTATGGCTCCTTCCTAAACCCAGACCCTGCTGCCTATCCTGTTTTTAAGCCTCTCCCAGCTGAGGTTTCTACTCCTGCTCTCTAAAGGTATCTCCTGCTGTCCTCCTGACCCTGGTCTTCCCTGTCTGCCGCAACAGACTCCTTGTTATAGGAACTACCACCTTAGGGTTGCACATGACCTTTGGTTACCTGACTTGGCCACACAGTAACACACACGTGTCCCACACATACACACCAACCTATTCTACCATCGCAAGGCATACACATTTCAATGACGGATATCTTAAAAGATTTCTGCTGGAAGTTTGCTGCTTGCCTGAAACAACTTCACTTTAAAAGCGAGTTGTTGCCTCCCTCCCCAATTACAGAGCCTAGAATTAGGACATAACTTTTAAAATCTAATTTGAAAGTTAACAAATGCCCCTAAACCAGGATAAGATGATACCTTTCCCATAGCTCAGCTTTTAAAACTAGTGGCCAAGTATCTTGCCTTGACACACACACAAAAAGAGTAGACATTTTGAGATTATAAACACACAAACATCTAAGCTATGTTTCAGATCCTACTCAGCACCAACACTAATAAAGATGGATACATTTTATTTTACCTCAGCAAGTTTTCCAGTTACCTAGACTAGCTCTCAAAGGTAGAGAAGCACAACTGAACCAAATTTTGTGCAATTTGTGCTGTAAAAGTCTGTATTCACGCACACATTAACATTAACTTTTCATAGGTTAGTACCACTTTAACATAACCCCCGCACAAGTTAATTTAACGGAGGGAGCCAAGTTACAGCCCTTGAGTGGTTAACTTTCTTTTAACCTCCATCCCAATCCTTTGAATATGAAACACATTAGATACACAAAAGAGGGGTGGGGGGAAAGGAGTGAATAACATAGCTGAAGAACAGACTCAGAAAGCAGGAGAAAATGCCAAGTGCCAGAGGAACAACCAAGAGACACTGGTCAGAGGAAAGAGTCTCAGGAGGTCAAGGATGGGATGTGCAAGCAAGAAAAGGGTCAGCTGCAAAATCTAGACACAAGCCAAGAAAGGAAAGGAAGCAGAAAGCCCACGATATTGTAATAGGAAGAAGTTCTCTCTCTCTACTTAGCTCCAATCCTTAAGAAAGCGGAGGAATGGAAATGGAATGAGAAAGAGTAAGAATACATAGGTATTAACACTGTCAGCATTCAGGAGGTTTTCTACAGGGAGCAATACAAATACAATCAATCAAGATGCACTAGCGTTAATTTAGGTCAGGTGAGTCTCCACCACACCTACAACCAATTAAAAAAGGATTCTATAGGAATTCCCCATTTTAAATATAGGAAATCTCTCTCAAACCAGTAAGATCTTTCAAAACAAAAGAAGTTTTTTTTAGGACTTGCTACATTTAGCGGCAGTCAGATTAATACAGCAGCACCTGGAATTAATTTCAGTCCACTTAAATACCCACTACTTAGAATTTGGTGAGGCACATTCTTGAAGTTTTACTTCAAAAGAATTTAACGTAGCACCCCAAAAGAAAAATAACAAAAAGGAATAGAAAAATCAAAAGGTTAGGAAATGGGAGAGGCCTACCACAGAATTCAATATGTAATTACTTTGGTTACTTTTAGACATGCAGAAGACTATGCAAATGAAAGGAGCTCAAAGTTCATTTCTGTATGCAAATATGTATTTCTAAACATTTTTATTTTAAAAGGTAAAAATCAAGACTATAAATCTTTAATTCTGGTTAAGTACTATTATAAATTAACCCTCCTCCCCCCCAAAAAAAATTAAAATGCAACATTATAGGCAATAGTTCAGCTGTTTCCTTTTTTGTTTTGGAATGTCTGCTGTCAACAGACATTTTATGCTCAGTTCAAGCCAACAACAAGGCAAAATTGCATTGCAGAAAGCAAGATTACTCCATCTTTCACAGAGAATGGCTGAAAATCACAATGCTATCACTTTGCAAGATGCAATTGCATTTTATGAGTAATTCAGTATTTAACAGAACATGAAGCTAACATTAGCATAACAGATCAACTAGATTTTAAGTTTTATAGAAGTTCTTAGTTGACTTTTTAAACAAAGATCCAATACACAAATGAATCTGACATATGTTTATAACAAATATTTGTTACAAGAGAAAATGAATCTGTAACTGGGAATAGAACACTTACCTTTTTTGATTTTTTTCTTAATGTGTAACCTCTGTACCAACCTAGAATAAAGTTATGAAAAAGTTTATTAACACACTGCAACAGATTCTCCTTTGGAGTTGGATAATATCTTAGCTTTCTTTCTGTCCACAAAGATTTTCTCATTGTAGCTGAATTTCAATTCTCCGTAAAATTGATAGCTTAATGTTCATCTTCACTTAAATCAGTTTTGCTTAAATTGGTATTTCCCAAATCAAGCTAAGCCATTTTAAGTGCACATACATTAAAAGTTTGCACTAGTTTAGCTAGTTTGCTTTAAAACAGATTTAGCTAAACCAACGGTAATTCTTTCATTTAGATCAGCCCTTTGTCATCACATCAGGGAACAATACCATGCAATTTAGGATGCTATTCACACACCACGAACAATAAATAGGCGAAGACCCAGATGAAGCAGATAGTTTGTGATCAAATTACTGGCTGAAATGTGTTTTCATAAAGCATCAGAACAACTTCAAGCAAACAATCAGGAAAATCAAAGTCCATGAATTATTCATGAACTGAAAAAAGGGTTACATGTGTTTGTTAATTTATTCACAGGGTGCCCCCTGAGCACCCTGCTGGGGCATTGGTGCAGTAGAGTGTCAGAAGGAAGAGTCCCACCTACTGTTAGTTAAACCATGGACTCAGCAAGACAGAAACTATAGAGCAGCACATCAGCAATAACTGCTTAGGGGTCCAACAGCAACAGAAAATACAAAACCTGTGATGACAAGTTCTGTAATGACTGAATGGATATTTAAATGGCGATGCTTTGGGGGATTTGTGTTTTACCTTTCAAAAGTAAAAATTATGTTGGTTCTCCAGAGTTCTCAGTGTTAAAGGCCCTCAAGCCCTAGTTCAATGCCAGGCAGCAAGGAAGCTGGCATCCCAGCTTTCCCCCCAACAATTCTATTGTAGTGCAATCATTCCAATCCAATAAGACATTTCTCACACTCACAGAGGCAGGTGGCATGCCAGGAAAATATGGAGGTAATCTCTCATTTATTGTGCCCCCAGTTCACTACACATCTGCAAGCAATCAGCATTACAGCTTTTATTGTTTCTGAGACCATTCTGTTTCTTTGTGACTGTTTAATTAAAAAATCCCACAATACAGTCATTCACTCCCAAAGAAGGTGCTGTGCCAGGCAGATCAGTAGGCATCTCTCGTGCACACTGTCCTCAAATTCAGTACAAATTGGCTTGCAAACCTGCTTTATGACTATTCTGTATTTCAGTTTGTGTCCATATTGGTTCTCTTGCACCCTCTCACTCCTGCCTTAGAGAACCCACAGTAAAATGGTGCTGCTCTCCACAGTTTTATAAAGACAGTGGAGCGCAGCAAAAGATTTTGTTTGGATTTTGGCACAAATCTACCTCACGGACCATTCCAAAAAGTCAGGGAGCTCATGCTTGCACAGCAGCCTGTCTGCAAGTACTAGGCACAGTTGTCCCACCTCTAAACCTATCTTCCCCACAGTTCAACACATGGAAGATAGAAAAGATAGTGGAGGGAAGGTAGAGAAACAGACCACCACCACCAGTCAATCCCCCTCTATAGTCATCCACGCAAGAGCCTGGAGGCTCTGCATGGGAGCATGAAGGGAAGGAACAGAGAGAAGGAATACTTTTTCTACCTTGCAGAAAGATTCAGAGGAGCTTCAAAATTCAGATACATACTAGCCTGGGGCAGAAATTAAAATGAAGCCCCCCAAGCATGGCCCAGAAACAGCATGCTAGAAGGAAACTCAGTGCCCTCCCCTTTCTCACCAGTTTGCAGGAGATTTTGACTTCTCACTGAAGTATTGCCTCCTACTCCCATCTCTCATAATGTCCATGGCTAGTAAGTGTCACACTCTAGCTATTTGGGGTCTAGTAATATTTCCTAACCCTATGTAGGGGTGGGTTTGTGACAGGGGCGGGGGCAGAAGGGAGAAGAGAAATGGGATATATTAGACAGCAAAGTATAGTACAGAGATGTACCATAGGTATCTTTCCACTCTGGCTAGTAGGCTTAGACTGGAGGCTACTAGGTGTTGGGGGAAGAGACCAGGATATGACTACTCGGTTTTGGTATGTGACTGTTAAAATGATTTGTACAGCCCGTAGCACAATGTGGTTCTGGTCCATGACTAGGGGTCCTCTGCACAATGATAATAATACAAATAAAAATTACATGGAATGTTTGCTTATACAAACAACTATGGAAAGATTTGTTTCTCCATAATATTAAAGATTGAAGCAACACTCCTGGTATCACATTGATTTTATTTTTATATTACATACACACACTCTGGGTCAGATCCTGGCCCTTCACTCCATCCCCTTTCCATTGGTAGAGAACTATCAAAGCACCAAGTGTGGTCAGGGAATGCCTTGGTGATTCAGAGATGGCTTAGCAACCCATTCCTAGCAGGCTGAAGCATGCTGTGCTCTGGCAATTCTGAGCCAATGGAATAGCTCCTAGAGCCTGCTGAAGTGGGGACAAGTTTGAACAGTCCTGATGCTGTTCTAACTTGTACCAGGGCCAAAATGGTTCCCAGCTGTTACCAGAACTGAAGTGGGGAGAGGAAGGGAACGTGGCAGAAAACCACCAATGCACCCACCTCCAGTTGCGGAGAGTGTAGATGAGTAACTGATCTGTGGAGCCCTTCGTTTTCAGTTTTTATTTTATTTAATTTTTCCTGGGAATTTATCTGTGTTTATTACTAAAACAAAAATAGGTGAAAAATCAGTGGAAAAAAACATTAATAATTTTTCTGGGTAAATATCGGGGTTTATTTTGGTGGACAGAAGGACAGGAGGAAAAAGTATTCAGTAGATTAATGCTTTCGTTAATGGAATTCAATGTGGTTTGCTGCAGAATTAAAACAGAACTCAAAACACGCCACCTCTGAGTTTAAGAAAACAATATATCTCTAATCCCCAAATAAAACTTTTCATTTGAATAAACAGTTTATTGTTGTAGACTTAGAACTATTAGCCTATAAATATTTACATTTCATAATTGGGCCACACCATTTGCAGCGCATACACTCAACTTCATCCTTTTCACTTTTTAAAAAAAATATATTTGAATGATACAAAAGTAGAGTGAAAATTGGAAAAAAATCGATTTAAACTGAAAACGAAGGGACTTAATGATCTGTTAACTCTTCCAGGACTTATTGAGGCAAAGAACTACTCCTAAACAACAGGATTTGTTTACTACAGTTCACAGTCTATTTGGAAGTGATCAATAGAGGGTGACATGGTGTAGAGGTGATTGCAAACAAGCAATATAGTTCAAAGGGTGTATCGAAGTAGAACTAGGGTTGCCAACTAGGATTGTCCCTGGAGTCTCAGGAATTAAAGATCGATCTTTAATTAAAGATTTTGCCATGTGATGAAACCTCCAGGAACACATCCAACCAAAACCGGCACCCCTAAGTAGAACATAAGATACTCATGTGACCTGAAATGCATACCAGAATCTCATTTTCCAAACAGGGCAGTGGGTGAGATAATTCATTGGCCAGATTTTATCTAGGCAGCCTTAATTTGTGTCCCTTTACATGTATGCAGGATAATCTTTAATTACTTGATCATATGCTCCACAAGACCCCTGCCTCAATAAGTGCACAGGAAGGACTTGCTCTGGGGAATGAATCCAGGTTCTGTAATGAAGGAGACTGTTGTCTATAAGACCCCTGCTTCACTTGTTACAGAACTTTTAAGGTATGTAGTGAATGAGGCAGATGATTGTAGGAAGGGAAAGAATGGTCTCATGGATAACGCGATTTAATGCTGCCCTGGATAAGTGAATTCGATCTCTACTTCTGCCACAGAGTTCTTACGTGATGCTGGGCAAGTCACATAAACCGAACATTTCACAGAGGGGTCACTAACTCTGTGTTCCTCATTTTCTGGGTTCTGAACTTGATACCCAGGGGTCTGATTTGCTAAATTGCTGAGCACTCACAGTTGTAACTGAAATCAAATGGAGTTGTGCTTTGAACATACATGCATGCCCACATCCCTACACACACAAATGCCCCCCGCCTAGACTCTATCTCTAGCATACTATACAATACTAAACACTCTGAAAAATCAGGTCCTAGTACTCTCAAATTGAGTATCTCAAGTAAGGGGACACTTTTGACCATACTATCTTTGTGCCTCAACTCCTGTTCTGTAAAATGGGGATAATACCGTCCTCTCACCTCATGGGAGTGTTCTCAATATTAATATTTGTGAAACACGCTGATTCTATAGTGATGAGCACCAGATAAAAGTTCATAAGGAAATTAATAATTCTGTCTTCAGAGCTGGGCTTGATTAGTATAACATATGGGACCACATGCTGACTGATGGTAAAACGAAATATTGAATGGCTGCCCATTAAGTGATCCTTGTCCATCCTGTGCTCTGAATAAGACAGGGATTCTATGGGAAAAAATAGTACATGATTGTGTAATTTAAGATTAATATTGCATATGCACAAGGGGGCCAGATTAAGCTTGCACTGGCAACATTAACTCTGGCATTTCCTAACTTCTGAGTGCTTGATTTTGCAACCTTAATAATATTTTTAATGTAGTTTACTTTGTGTGCAATTAGATTTAATTTAAGATGATACTTTGCTCAATTTAGAAACCTGGTTTGTTTTTTGTCTAAAGCAGTGATGGCAAACATTTACCCTCACATGGCTAAATGAAGACCATACTAGAGAAATTACAAAATTTCCTCAATGGACTCTTTTATTGGCACTTTGTTTTAGGCAAATATCAGTAATGGGAAAACTGGCCCAAGCCTCAAATGATTCCCAAGGTGACCTGGATTTTGAAAATCTTTTAATTATGTTGTGAACTATGCCTAAACTTTTTAGAATGTCCCATGACCAATGATGTAAGATTTAATTTATTTTTAGGTATGCGTCCAAAAGAATCCCAAGTGAGAAAAACCTAACGTGCACACACACTAGATTTCACTAGCCCACTCTGCAGAACATTAAATGATATACAATCCCAGTACTGTACTT